GCTTGAACCTGTGATTTTCCTCTCTAACTGTCCATATTGGGGTTTGGTATGCAGATAATTCAAACCTCAGAGACTGAGTCAACAAGAATCTCTTCTTCTCAATTTTCTGCAAGAATTTCCTTTTTTATTAAAAGAAAAAGATAGTAAACTTTACTGATGCATTTATAAAAATACTTACTCCAATCAGGCCTCTAACCTGTAAAAAGTAATTTTCTATTTATAAAGCAAAATACATGGAAATACAGAAACAGACTCATTTATCCAGCAAGAAAACTTTTAATATTTGTACCAAATACAATTAGTTTCTCTGGATAAACCCACCATCAGTGTCACCTAGAATATAGGTAGGTCTGCTCAGAAGTCACTAACTCTAGTATCTCTCTGTCCACATATATTAGGACAACTGAACTCTGAAAAAGCAGAGCTGAGCCTGTCAAATTTTTGTCTGTTTTAGAAACTCTGGCACAGGAAGAAAATAAGAGGAAGATTCAGGCAGCAGAGTGCTTGTATCATGATTAGGCAGTTGGCCTTGTTGCACATTTCAAATCTAGAAAGAGACAAGAAGTCATCAAAACAACTGGGCTTCATTCATTTGCTATATGCTTGATCATGGTGCCTGGGGTCCCGGCGGCGGCGCCCCGGGCGGCCCGGGCCTGGGCCTCGGCAGCCTCGGGGAGGAGCGCTTCCCTGTGGTGAACACGGCCTACGGGCGAGTGCGCGGCGTCCGGCGCGAGCTCAACAACGAGATCCTGGGCCCCGTCGTGCAGTTCTTGGGCGTGCCCTACGCCACTCCGCCCCTGGGCGCCCGCCGCTTCCAGCCGCCTGAGGCCCCCGCCTCGTGGCCCGGCGTGCGCAACGCCACCACCCTGCCGCCCGCCTGCCCGCAGAACCTGCACGGGGCGCTGCCCGCCATCATGCTGCCTGTGTGGTTCACCGACAACCTGGAGGCGGCCGCCACCTATGTGCAGAACCAGAGCGAGGACTGCTTGTACCTCAACCTCTACGTGCCCACCGAGGACGGTAAGGGCGCGGGCACGAGGCCGGGCACCCCGTGGACACAGCCCACAAACGCACACGCAGACCCGCCGGCACCGGGCTGGGAGCCGGGCCCTTGTGGCTCCCTGCAGCCTCTGCGTTGCCTCCAAGCGTGGTGAGGGTGCCTGCCGGGCGGCCCCAGGAGCAGCCGGCGCACAGCCGCCCCGCAAGTTCTTTGCACCCCTAGACAGCCATGACTGAGGGTGGCCGGCACGAGGCCAGGCCTCCTCACCCGCTCCCAAAGAGGCGCACAGAATCCGCTGCCTTATCTCAGCGCCGACGCTGAGGGTGATCGGGTGAGGGAGATCACCATCACCTGCCCAGATGTGCACCCCGCCCTTGCCGGGTCTCCCACCCCCCAGGCGTGGGCCACTTCAGGGACAACCACACCCCGGGACGTGAAGACTCCCGCTCTCTCCTAGGCCAGCAGGGCGGACTTCCGTCTTGTAACACATCACAGGCAGCTCTGTGCCCTTGACAGAGCGGCTCACACGCCCTCCTCTTCTGGAAGATATTCTGTTCCCCAACCCCTATACGCCCCTGCAGGACCCCGGAAGCTCCAACCACAGTCTCCCCATCCCCGGCTGGATATCTCTGTGGCCCTCCAGCTGCTGCCCGGGATAATGAACTCCTGGCTGCTGCAGCACAGCTCCTAACCCCAGCACACACTCTCCCAGCCTTCGGCACACCAGCATTAACCAGAGTGCCTTCCAGGGCAGCTTCCGGCCACCCCAACACACCATACCAGCGCCACTACAGCACCCCCTTCTGGCCATGCTTCCAACAACCTTCTGCACAGGCCCAATGTGCCCTGGACCCAACCAACTCCCCACACGATGTACACCAGTCCCGCAACAGACTCTGAATCTCACCTACTCCATGCTCAGATCCTGCACCCAGCCGACCTCCGCGCTGGCTGTGTGCCCCACCATGCCACGTATTCCCAGCCTCTTTTCACGCGTACCCCAACACTTCTTGTATTGTGTACCCATTACCCACGCAGAGCTGCACCTCTCCCCATATCCCTGGATATAGATTGCGTGTCCTAGTAACACCCACACACACACCTTATCCTCCCCTAAGCTGGAACTGTGCGCCCCAGCAAGCCACTCAAACCTCGGTCCCCAGCACTCTCAACCCTCCTCAAACGCCATCCACCGATTCCCACCCAGAAGTCATCCGCACCACACCTCGGGTGGCAACAACACACCTGACAACCCTCTGCACCCTACCACAGATCAAGTGCCACAGCCTTTTGCACCCTGCACCCAGAATCCTCTCGAACCAATCGCAGAATAACCCCTGCACCTCAGTGCACCCGCATCCATCCCCACACTTCCCAAGGGGCCACCCACCCTGAGCCCCTAGCACCAGCAGTGCACCCTAACATCCTAACTGCCCTTTTTGAGATCAACCACACCTCCTAACCACCCATCCCCACAATGCACAGAAACATCATCTCCTCTAATCCTGTCCAAATCCCGAGAGCCGTAGCCTCCCCGCCGTGGACCACTCACCCCTGCACATCCTCCCCCGTACCGCCACACCCTCTGTGTGAAAAGTCCGCTCCACGTCCCTCTGTCCTCTGAGGACCTAGCTCTGCCAGCACCCTTCCTCCTTCCTGTGGACCCCTCACCCAGGCCCTCCTCACAGGGGCTTCTCTCACCTCCCCACCCCCACCCCATGTATCACACAGGTGGCCCACCCCTCCCCCCCAGGCCCCACCTGCGGGCTGTGTGAAGCAGCCACTCAACACTTCCCACCAGTGGACCGTCCACCCCAACACTCCCACACGGGGCCCCCTGCCCCCTCACCACCATTGCCCACACCTGCTGTATTTTTAACCGCCGCTTTTGCAGACCCGCCTGGGGCCTGACACATTCAGGTGATCTCACCGAGTCTTCACACTGGCCCTGGAAGAGGCTGACTCAGGCGCGTGCACACACACACACACACACTTCATGCTCTCACGTGCACACATGCCCTGCTGACTTCATCCCCATCCCTACCCTCTCACAAAGAGGTCCTGTGCAGTGGGGCCCTAGGGGGCCACCATCCACTAGCAGAAACCTGAAGCCTCTGGGTTCCAACTCTTCCCTGACCCCTTAATTTGAAAGACACCAGGAGCCAATCCCTGGGCCCCATCTGGGGCCTTTCCCTGATGCTGGGCAGCCTGTGTGCCTCCTCGCACTTCCTGGCACCTTATGTGTCAGGCTGGCCCACGGTGATGCGTGTCCTGTCCCCTCTTGGTGGACTGGACGCCCAAGGGGGAGGGGGGCTTTCTGGCAGTGGAGCAGGGGCGGGGCTGGGGGCCATTCTGGGGGGATGAGAGGAGGCCTGGGTAAGGGTCAAGGCGGGGAGGTGGGGTATGGAGGGATGAGCTGGAGTGGAGGGCAAGACCTGATGACCCCTTTCCCTGCTTTGCCCACACTGGGGAGACAGGGTGTGAAGCCAGGCCTGGGTGTGCGGATGGGACAGAAATGCTGGCGGGTGAGGCTGGGTAGGTAGGTGGGCAACCCTCGTGGACCTACCCACAGCCCTCCAGTGGGGCGTGGAGGGCTTCCAGGGGCTGCGCACAGCGGGGCAGGCTGCCCCCCAACCCCACCCTGCCCTCTGCCCTCCCGAGTGATCCAAAGGGAGGCAGAGTCCCCTGTGCCGCAGCCTGGGTGGGGCAGCAGGCAGGGGCTTGGCTGGCCCTCGAGGGGGTCTTCAGGAGAGGCGGCCTGCGTGGCCTTGGTCTCCCAGGCTCCCCCCCACCCCCTCCCACCTTTCCCTTTTCCAGCCATTTCCAGCCATTAACAACCTCACGGACAATCCACGTCCTTCCCAGCAAAGTCAATTTGTCTTAAGACAGGCCTCGGCCCACTCAGGCACCCCACCCCACCCCCAAAACCCGCATTTTCTTTGGGGCATGACTTTTTCCGGGGAGGGGAACACATTTGGGTTGTAGAAAACGTTTTTCTCTTTTCTTGGTTTCTTTTTCTTGCAAACAAATTTTGCTTTTTTTGGCTTATTTTTTCTGCCTCCCCACCCTCCCCTTTTCTGCTTTCTCTCCCCCCCTCCCCATCCACCACCTCCTCCGACCCCCATCTCTCCCCACAAAATTGTCCTTTTTTCTCTGTTTTGTGTTCCCGGTCTTAGGTCCGCTCACAAAAAAACGTGACGAGGCGACGCTCAATCCGCCAGACACAGGTAGATTTAAAAATCCCGCGGCTGCATGTGGTTGCTTTTACAAAAGGACGTCCAAGGCCCCGCCCTCACTAAATGCCCCACAGCCCTCTAGGCCCCCCAGTCGTTCTCCCGACTAAAAATGAAAAAGAAAAGAAAAGAAAAATTTGTAACAATTGGAAAAAAAAAGTATTATGAAAACTTCAAAAAAAAAATCTGAACAATGTTGGACCCAGTAGGGAGCCTGCAAGAAAAGCTAATCATGGTCAAAATCAGGTGGAAAAAGAAAAAAAAATTTGGAATGCCAGAAAAAAAATTGTCAGAGTTTGAGAGAAATTCGGACGCTTTCGAAACTTGCAAATTGTAACATTTGAAAAATAATTTCAATTTGGAACAAATCAACACTCAAAAGAGAATTTTCAAGTTGGCCAATTGACACAATCGATATATCCAAAACCTGCTACAATTTCCAAAGCCTGTCAGACAGAAAAACTCCAACATTCGAAGCCAGTGAAAGAATTTGGAAAATTTTTGAAAACAGGGCCCACTATCTTGAAGTTTCACCACAAAATTTTGAAAAACAAAATTGCAAAGAATTTTTTCTTTTTTTTCTTTTTTTCCAAAATGGATCTTTTTTTGTTTTTTCTTTTCTTGTTGAAACTGCCCCGAGAGCTTCTTGCTTTTTGGTTGTTGTTTTTTCTTTCTTTCTTCTTTCTTGATCCTGGTTTTTGTTGTTGGTTTTGAATTCTTGTTGCCCCAGCCCCTCTTCCTGCTCCTTCCCTTTCTGACCCCCTCCCCCCAGCTCTGGGAGAGGGGTGGGGGGAGGGAGGGAGGGAGAACCCAGGACCTTAGGGAAAGAGTTCAGCCTGAGATTGAGGGAGCTGCGTGGGCTCAGGCAGGGAGGAGCCGGACTGGGGGAGGGGAGGGGAGCCCAGGCCAAGGAAGTCAGAGGGGCGGAGGCCGCAGAGAAGGTCCAAGAGACAGGGGGCAGGACCTGGCTGGGGAAGGTCAAGGGCAATGTCTTGGTGACCTGCCCGGTGACCTTCTGGCAGGAGGACGAGGGGGATGGGCAGAGGTGCCAGGGCCCAGTGTCAGAGGCCCAGGCCTGGCTCTTGCTGCCAGTCAGGGATGGATGGCAGGTGCCAAGAAAGGAGAGAGCCTGTGGGGTCCTGTGACCCCAGCCCCGGCCTGTAATTTAATCATGGGAAGGGATGAGAGCCTCACGGGGCCCTGGCAGGTCCCCTCCGACTCCCACCCTTATTGCGAATTAGTCGCTCCTCAGTCCCATCTGGAGTGTCTCAGGGGCTGTCACGTGTGCAGTGATTAAGGGAGCCTCCGGGACCTGGCCGGGGTGGGGGAAGGGGTGGGGGGTTGTCCCTTGCAGGGCCAGAGCTCAGGCCAGGTCCTGGGGTCCCAGCCTGGAGAGCCGCACCCTGGCTTCATTAAGCAGGCTGTTCCCACCCTGCCTCCTCCTGCCACAGTAATTAGGCTGGGGTTGCCATGGGAACTGGGGAGGTGACCTAGAAAGGAATTAGGGCGGGGAGGAGACCAAGCCCCCAGGGACCCTAGGGCCTGGCACCCCCTCACCCACAGACCAGGGTGCCATGTGGCGCTCAGGCCTAAGGCCTGAGTCCGAGACCACGCCAGGGCCCTCCCAGCATCCCTAGCTATAGCTGCAGCCCAGGGAACTGGCTTTCCCTTGGAGCAGGAAGGAGAATTGCGTGTGTGTGGGAAGGAGGGGTCCCTGGATCCAGCAGATACCTTGAGGAGGGCTACCTCCTGTCCTGGCCTCCAAGTGGGCTTCTTGGGAGATCTGCCCAGCACCTGGAGTGGTGCTGTGGGACGGACCATGGGGCTGGAAAGAGCCTTCCACCAGGGCTAGCTGGGGAGGGTGGGAGGGGAATCCGGTCTTGCCCCCCAGGGACGGGAGTGACACGTCCCCTGAGCTCCAGGCCGGTCCTCTGCAGGCCTAGGAGCTGGGCAGTGGCAGTGCTGCTTCTGGTCTGACTGTGTCCTTGTCCCCCACCCCCTGGCCCGTCCGCTGCCTCCCACCCCGCAGATATCCGGGACTCCGGGAAGAAGCCGGTGATGCTGTTCCTCCATGGCGGCTCCTACATGGAGGGCACTGGGAACATGTTCGACGGCTCTGTCCTGGCCGCCTACGGCAATGTCATCGTCGCCACACTCAACTACCGACTCGGGGTGCTCGGTGAGGGGGGCCGGCCAACCCTGGGGGGGGTGGGGGTGGGAAGAGTTCCTCCAAACCCAGCAGAAAGGCTTCTGGGCCGGGCTGAGCTGCCCCAGAGAGGGGCAGGGGCCCCATGACACCTCCAGAAAGTCTTGTTTTTCTTCCACCCCCAGGTTTTCTCAGCACTGGGGACCAGGCTGCAAAAGGCAACTATGGGCTCCTGGACCAGATCCAGGCCCTGCGCTGGCTCAGTGAAAACATCGCGCATTTTGGGGGCGACCCTGAGCGCATCACCATCTTTGGGTCCGGGGCAGGGGCCTCCTGTGTCAACCTTCTGATCCTCTCCCACCATTCGGAAGGTATCGGCAGGCGCCCCGCCCCAGCCTGCGCCCCTCCCCACACCCTGGCCCTGCCAGGCCCCCCTTCTCCCGTTGGCTGATGCCCACGGCCCAGCCTGAGGTCCGCCTGTCCCTCTAGGGTTGTTCCAGAAGGCCATCGCCCAGAGTGGTACCGCCATTTCCAGCTGGTCTGTCAACTACCAGCCGCTGAAGTACACGCGGCTGCTGGCAGCCAAGGTGGGCTGCGACCGGGAGGACAGCGCCGAAGCCGTGGAGTGCCTGCGCCGGAAGCCCTCCCGGGAACTGGTGGACCAGGATGTGCAGCCTGCCCGGTATGGGGGCGGGAGAGGGCTGGGTCCAGGCCGTCACTCTCCTTGCTGGTTCCAAGGGGGTCGAGGTGAGAGGGTCCTGCAGGCATTCCACCTGGCAAGGAGAGGTGGGCTCCAGGCGCCCCTGGCGGCCCCCGGCCCGCCTTCCCTCAGTCCAGGTACTTGAAAGACAGCGGGTGAGCACAGGGGGCCATGCAGTGCTAGAAAGACTTCCCGAGAGGCCCAGTGCCCCAGTGGGCTCACACTGGGGGTCTTCAAGGAGGGAGAGGGTCTGCCAGGCAGAAGGAAGCACCTGCCCGTGGGCTGAGGCGGCTGTGGGAGGAGAGGCGGCCAGTGAGCAGGTGGTGAGACCCCGCGCCCCCTCTTCCCAGCTACCACATCGCCTTCGGGCCCGTGGTGGACGGCGACGTCGTCCCGGATGACCCCGAGATCCTCATGCAGCAGGGAGAATTCCTTAACTACGACATGCTCATCGGCGTCAACCAGGGCGAGGGCCTCAAGTTCGTGGAGGACTCTGCGGAGAGCGAGGACGGGGTGTCCGCCAGCGCCTTCGACTTCACCGTCTCCAACTTCGTGGACAACCTGTACGGCTACCCGGAGGGCAAGGATGTGCTGCGGGAGACCATCAAGTTCATGTACACGGACTGGGCCGACCGGGACAACGGCGAGATGCGGCGGAAGACCCTGCTGGCGCTCTTCACCGATCACCAATGGGTGGCGCCGGCTGTGGCCACCGCCAAGCTGCACGCGGACTACCAGTCCCCTGTCTACTTTTACACCTTCTACCACCACTGCCAGGCCGAGGGCCGGCCTGAGTGGGCGGACGCGGCGCATGGGGATGAGCTGCCCTACGTCTTTGGTGTGCCCATGGTGGGCGCCACCGACCTCTTCCCGTGCAACTTCTCCAAGAATGACGTCATGCTCAGCGCCGTGGTCATGACCTACTGGACCAACTTCGCCAAGACTGGGTGAGGGGCGGAGGGGCTGGGCGGGGCTGAGCAGGGCACCCTCTCTGGCCTTGGCGGTCCCCTCCCCCACCCCCCCTCCGCTTGGCCATCAGTCCTCGTCCTGACGCCACTCGCTCTTGGCTGCGCTTCTTGCTCAGGTGACCCACTTAGACACCTGCTGAGCGCCTTCTCCAGGGCAGGCACTAAGTTGAGAGTGGGGGTTTTGGCAGTTAGACAGGAGACCCTCTTCTGGCTGGGGCCGGGCTCCCCTAGGGGTTTTGGCTTGGTTTCCGTCATCTGCTCCCACTTGCCTCCCCCGTCCCGGTGCTCTACGCCCCTGCCTGACTGCTCCTGCGTGTGCGTGCACATGTGTGTCTGTGCACGTGTGTGTGCATCTAAGTATGTGCAGGGTTTGTGTCTGTTTCTTTCTGGCTGTCTCTGTCTCTCTTGAAATCTCTCCCTTTCCCTCTGCTCCTACACCTGTTTGCATTCTGTTTTCCCTGGCTGCTGGCTGGGTTTGGCCCGGCTGCCTCGGGCTGTCTCTCGTGTGTCTCTGTTTCACTGCATCTCAGTTTCCGGCTCTCACTGTCTCTGCCTGTATCTGTCTTGGTGTCTTCCTCTCTGGCTGGCCCAGCAGTCTGCCTCCTTCCCTGTGTGGTTCTCTGTCCCTGTCTCGGGCCGTTTCTCTGTTTTCACATCCATCTCCAGACTCTGCCTCTGTATTTCTCTCTGGCTTTCTTGCTGCCTCCTTGTCTCTGTCTCTCGGCCTTCTCCCTCCCCACAGCTGCCCCACCCTCCCTCCCAGCCTGGCCCTCACTCCCTCTTATCCTGCCATCCTGTGCCCACAGCGACCCCAACCAGCCGGTGCCCCAGGACACCAAGTTCATCCACACCAAGCCCAACCGCTTTGAGGAGGTGGTGTGGAGCAAGTTCAACAGCAAGGAGAAGCAGTACCTGCACATCGGCTTGAAGCCACGCGTGCGTGACAACTACCGTGCCAACAAGGTGGCCTTCTGGCTGGAGCTTGTGCCCCACCTGCACAACCTGCACACCGAGCTGTTCACCACCACCACGCGCCTGCCGCCCTACGCCACTCGCTGGCCGCCTCGTCCGCCCAACGGTGCCCCAGGCACGCGCCGGCCCCCACCGCCTGCCACCCTGCCGCCCGAGCCCGAGCCCGAGCCAGGCCCCAGGGCCTACGACCGCTTCCCTGGGGACTCCCGGGACTACTCCACCGAGCTGAGCGTCACCGTGGCCGTGGGTGCCTCGCTCCTCTTCCTCAACATCCTCGCCTTTGCCGCCCTCTACTACAAGCGGGACCGGCGGCAGGAGCTGCGGTGCAGGCGGCTCAGCCCGCCTGGGGGCTCAGGATCCGGAGTGCCTGGTGGGGGCCCCCTGCTCCCCGCCGCGGGCCGGGAGCTGCCACCAGAGGAGGAGCTGGTGTCCCTGCAGCTGAAGCGGGGTGGTGGCGTCGGGGCGGACCCTGCTGAGGCCCTGCGCCCCGCCTGCCCGCCCGACTACACCCTGGCCCTGCGCAGGGCACCGGACGACGTGCCTCTCTTGGCCCCCGGGGCCCTGACCCTGCTGCCCAGTGGCCTGGGGCCACCCCCACCCCCACCGCCCCCCTCTCTGCATCCCTTTGGGCCCTTCCCCCCGCCTCCCCCCACTGCTACCAGCCACAACAACACGCTACCCCACCCCCACTCCACTACTCGGGTATAGGGGGCGGCTTGGGGAGGCCCCCTCCCCAGCCCTCCCCAGCCCAGGCCGCTCCACAAGCAGGGAGGAGGACTTGGCGACAGGCCCGTCTCCTGCGGAGCCGTCCATCACAGAGGTGACGGTGGACGCGTCTTTTTCCCGTTCTCGTCTCTGGACCTGGGCCTTTGAACACCTGGGGGGCGTTTTTCCTCCCCCCCTCCAAAGGGACGCCAGTCTTGGATGTATGGGAATGTGGACGTATTTCCCACGTGGAGACGCGCTCTCCTCGCGAGGTGGGCGTTTTCCCATGTGCAGGGTGAGGTTTTTTTTCGCCGCCCTGGACACATGTTGGCCCCCTCAAGGAACTTCTGCGGGGATTTGTACCCCAAAATCCCATCCCCTCATGCCTTCTCCCACCTCCTCCCCCTCCCAGCCCCTGGAGACCCTGGAAGTAATGTGTTCACACACAGTGACCTTGGGCCACCAGACGACACAGGGTGGTGCCTGGGAAGCATCGCGGAAGTCGCGGGTCCCCCGCCCCCACGCCCCGCCCCGCCGCCCCAGCAAAGCATGCTTTCTCCCCTGTGGCACAAGTCAGAAGCGGCCCGCTCTCCCGGAAGTCACAGGACAGACAGACCTCCAGGCAGGTTGGAGGGGAGGGAGGAGCCCTGTGCAGCCCAGCCTGGTACTTCCTGGAGACTCCGGCCTGGGACGCACTTCTCAGCGTGGACACATGGGCTTGCATGCGGATGTGTGTTTTCCCAGGCAGAGGGTCCCTCTCCCCCCAGCACTGCCCTGGACCCCTCCCCCCCCCCAGCAGGCCTCGGGCCTGGCACGCGATTCTTCCTCACACCGCAGGTGGAACAGACTTCAGACTGGGGTAGAGGGTGGCGGACAAACCCTGAGGGGAGCCTCAGAACCCCCTCTCTCCAGAGATGCTGAGCTGGAGGCCCTGGGCATGGCGTGGGCCACACACTGAGGCCATGCGTGTTTGACCAAAGCCCTCACAGGGGCATGAGGGCAGCCTTTCCCTCAGGGCTCGGATGCTCACTCATCTGTGCCAAGCTAGGTAGGTGGGTTGAAAGGAGAAGGCCCGAGCCCCCCCACCCCCGAGATGTGCCAAGGATCCCCCAGTCCTGGGCTGGAGCAGGGGGTATAGCAGCTAAGGGAGCCCTCACCTGTGTCTGTCCGCCCGCCCTGCTCCACCTGTGTCTCCCCGTCTCGGCATCACCTGGCCTTCTCCCCTCAGCCGACCACCCCCTTCTCTGCCCTGCCCCCTTCGCCTGGCTGCCTGGCTGAAGGAAACGAGCCGCGAGAGGCCGCCCTGGACAGGTTGGGGCGAGAATGAGGTCAGCTGTGTGGAGGCACAGATGGAGGGGCAGTGGGGGACGGGGCTCGGGCAGACACCAGCAGGAAGAGTTTGAGAGGTGATGTGTGAGGAGGTGCTTGCTCGAGTTTGCGCCTCTGGGGAGAGGAAGGAAGTGGGGTGGGGTTTAAGGGATGCCGGACAATCTTCCTCCGCTGCCGTCGGTGAGATGTGAGTGCCAAACCGGGGGAGGGGGCGGGCGCCGTCTTCCATACTCTTCCCGCTCCAGAGTCCCTGGTCTTGAGTCCCCAGAATTTTGCCTTTGACCGTCTCTTCTCCATCCTCCACCCGTGGAAACCTGGTTCTTTTATGTCCCCTTCCCCTGCCTGGTCCAGCTCCTCTCCAAGCAGCCATGCCCGCCAAATGCTAGAGACCCAGGCCCTGAACCCTGTAGACGGATGCCTCAGAAGCGGGGCATGGGAGGGGGGCTGGGGGACCCCACGATTCAGCCACGGACTCCAATACCCAGCCCCTCTCCCTGGAACAATCCCCCTCGACGACCCCGTGCCCCCACCCCAACCTTTGCGGCTCTGTACACATTTTTAAACCTGGCAAAAGATGAAGAGAATATTGTAAATATAAAAGTTTAACTGTTGGTTACGCCTGCTGTGATGTTGGGTGGGGGTAGGGGGTGCTCTGAAGAGACAGCCTTGGGGGAGCGACTGGGGACAGATCCCCAGCCCTTGCTATGGGTGAGCAGTTCTGAGGTCTGGGAGGGAGGGATGAGGTGGTCATGGAACTGGGATCGTCTGGAGGGTAAGAGCAGGACCTGGGTCAGTGCGGAGATTGAAGCCATGGTGCAGTGCTAAGAGGAGGGGCCCTTAGCACATTGTGAGGGACAGCCCCAGCGTGATTGTGACCCGCTTTCTCCCGGCCAGGACCCTCTAGCTCTGTGGACACTGTGGGCACAGTGGGCTGGGGGGGCCTAAGGGCCCTGGTGGCCCTGGGGACGGCCATGGCCATGGCTGAGCGGCCACGGCCTTGCTGGGCCTATCACAGCCCCAACCACAACAATTGCCAGGACGTGGGCAACTCCATCCTGTTGCTCTTGGGCCTCATCATCTGCATTAACATTGGCATCAACATGGTGACCCTGGTCAGGGCAGGGCCAGGCGGGAGGAGGGTGCTGGTGGGGCGACTGGGAGAGGTGGGATGGGCCTCGGGTCACTGTGTCCCTCCCCTACCTAGCTCTGGAGCCGACTCCGCGTCATCTTATACCGAGTGTTCTGTGCCATCTGTGAGAAAGGTAAGCAGAGGCGGGCAGGTAGTGTTGTTGCAGCCCCAGCCTGAGGTCGCGGTCCTAGGCCGGCCCCTTCCCTTGCACCTCTCTGCTCCCAGCTGCTCCCATTGAGCCCTCCTCCCTTCCCCAGCCCCCGTCCAGTCTCTCACCTCTTTTTAATCTGCAGAAGCCCCTAAACCGCCCCCCCCACCTGAGAAGCCAGCTCAGCCCTCGAAGCAAGGTGTCCCGGAAGTCCACCTCCGATGCACCATGGACCCTGTGAAAATGACCGTGACCCCTCCACCGGTTCGCCGCCATCGCCGCCGAGGCTCTCCCTCACGCCGTGCCCACCGCCCCGTGGTTTGGGCACCTGACACGGATGACGAGAAGGTCTCACCTCAGCACCCAGCAATCTGCTCCCACCACTGTGACGGCCCCAAGAACTGGGAAGGCTTCCAGTCCATCCAGGGCGTCTGGGCTCCCTGGACTCCAGACGCTCTGGAGCCGGCTCCCCACACCATCCGCTTCCAGTCAAACATAGAGGAGAGGCCCCACAAAATGGACTTACGATCGGAGCTGGGCCTGGAGGCCTACGTGTACCCTGTCAACCCCCCGCCTCCCAGCCCTGAGGCCCCGTGCCACAGGAACAGCGGGGCGGGGGCAGAGGCGGGCGCGGAGGCCGAGGCCGCCCAGTGCCAGGCTCAGCCCGCCCCTCCGCCCATCCTGGGCCCCGCAATCGTTCCCGAAATTCCCCGGCGCCGCTCCTCAGTCCGAATAGTGTATGATGCCCGGGACGTGAGGCGGCGGCTTCGGGAGCTGACGCGGGAGGTGGAGGCCCTGGCCCGCTGTTACCCTGTAGCCTCTGGGTCCAGCACTGCTGAGGCAGCAAGTAAAGACTGGGTGTATCGTTTCCTGACTGCAAGGTGAATCGGAGCGGGGTCGGGAGCAGGGGGGGCGGGAATAAAAAGGAGAGAGGCCATTTATTTTATGGTGGGGTGGGGCGGGGGGTGGGTAGGGCCCACAGAGCGCCTGGAAGCCCTGGTTGCTAAGGGAATGTCCTCCCTTGCAATGGGACCCACAAGGCTCTGAGGACTCTCACCAACCTGTCATCCTTGCAAACCCTGTCATCAGTTTTCTCCCAAGCCCTTCTTTGTTCCTGCCTCTACCCTTTGATTGATGGGTGTTTTTCAAAGAGGCTCCCCAATCTGGCCCTGGGATCCCTGGGCAGGAGAGCAGAGACACCCCCCACCCACCATGGCCCGGGCTCTTCAGAACTCAGGTTCAGCATGCAGCCACGGCTGAAGTGCTGCTCCCTCTCCGGCCCTGGTTTCTTGGGGGAGGGATGCCTGAGGGTAAGGGTACCCAGGCAGGCTCAGAGCACCAGAGGAAACGTTAGGGACACTCAAGGACTGGCTCATGACAACATCACTCTGTGACCTCACTCTGATTAGCCCACCCTGTCACCAATGTGGCTCAGGGAGATCACATGACTCGCTCATGGCTGTAAAGACATCCAGGATCAAGTTCAAGGCTGCAGACACTCCATGCCCCTGCTCCTTCAGGGAGATGCCCCTTGCTACCACGTCAGCCGGGCCCACCAGACTCTCCCACCTTCCTCAGTTTGCCACAGGAACTCAGAATAATCCACCCACTGGGCAGCAGGGAACTCGGGCCCTGCCCTGCTCCTAGCTGGCTGGGATCCCGTGTGTGCACACACAACTCAGGAACAAGGGGCCTCGAGTGCTGTACCCCACCTTCCATACTAGCTGTATTCCTGGAGTCTGAGCAGGCAGACTCGGTGTGACTCTCCCTCTCTGTTCATTTACATTCGGCTAGGGTTATTGATCGCTCGTTCTAAGCTCAGTGGGAATGGGAGGGATCTTCCAAAAGTTCATGGGAATACAGAGGCTGGCACTGTGCACAGTGGGCTAAGCTACCACCTGCAACCCCAGCACCCTGTATGGGTGCCGATTCAAGTCCCAGCTGCTCCACTTCCAATCCAGCTCCTTGCTAATGTGCCCAGGAAAGCTGTGGAAGATGGCCCAAGTCTCTGGGCCCCTGCCACCCACATGGGACACCAGGAAGAAGCTCCTGGCTTCAGCCTGGCCCAGCCCTGGTCATTGTGGCCATTTGGCGCATAAACCAGTAGATGGAAGATCTGTCTCTCCTTCTCTCTCTCTGTAAATCTGCCTTTCAAATAAATAATTTAAAAAAAAAGATTCGTGGAAATACATATTATGAAAAAAAAACTGTGTAGATATCAAAAATATTTTTCAGCAAAATAAACTTTTAATTCCATTTCCCATATCCATTTTGAAGCTCCCTCAAATACTGAGCCTCTGCTGGGTGTTGGAAGGCATGGTGGGAACTGCTCACTGGCTTCTACTCTATTTCTACTGAGGAGTCCACTGTGCAAACCACTGACTGGTGGTCCCCAGTGTGCTGCTGCCACCCAAGCCCAGTGAGCAGAGCTGCCCTCTGCATTGTGACTCCCGGTCACCGGCCTCATTATGACCTGACGCCCTCCCCAGCTGGGAGGTGACCCCAGGTACCAGCATGAGTGCAGTGTGGGTCGGGGCCGGCGGGGGGGGACTGGCCCCGGTGGCCCTAGGATCCCCCCCACCACCACCATGGAAAACCAGCTCTGGCATGACAACCTGGGGTGCTACAGTGAATGCCAAGCAAGCCCGCAGGACGCCGAGGAAATCCTGTTCGTGCTCCTAGGCCTCATCATCCTTGTCAACATCAGCATCAATGTTACCACTGCGGTCAGTGATGGCTGGGGATCTCCACTAGGGAGGAAGGGGGCTGAGAGCAGAGTGGCTGCAGCCTGCATCTGCAGGAACGGTCTTTATTGGGCGGGGTGAGGGGGAGTGTCGAGGTGGCCCACCGGCCTTCACTCCCACCCCACTCCACCCCCAGATGTGGCAAGGGCTCCAGAATATCTTGGACAGGATGATCTCCTGCATTATTCCGAAAGGTAAGGATGGCAGCTAGACAGACAGGGACCTGCACACACACACCCCGCCCCGCCCAAGACCCTGAAACCCCAGCCCCGTTCCCAGGCCCGTGTCTTCTGACGATTGCCCTGACCTCGAGAACTCCGGTCTTTCCCCCAGATGAAGTTCAGCCAAGCGAAAGTCCACCCAAAGATCCCCCGGCCAAGCCCCAGGACGTCCACATCCACTGCACCCTGGACCCTGTAAAGGTGAAGATGACCCAACCCATACACTATTCCTCGTCCTCCTGCCACCGCTTCCACAACCGTCGCAACAGCCGCAACCGCACCAACAGCCGCGGCCGCCGCCGCAGCCGCCGCCAGGGCATGCCCCTCTGCAGCCACCAGCAGAGGCCGCAGAACCCCAGAAGATTCCCCCGGGGCCGCCCAGTCTTCCGCAACCAACACCACGGCTACAAAGTGCCGAAGCTGCGGCCAAAGCCCTTTTTTGACCTGGAGGACCGGGACTCCTGCCTGGAGGAGGAGGAGGACCTGTCCTTCCCACACTCCAAGTACCCACGGAGGGGCTGGGGCGGGTTCTATCCGCGAATGGCCCTGCCGCCCTCCAGTGTGGGGCTGTGGGGCCGCCAGGGTGGAATCTTGGCCAGCCTGCCTCCACCGTCCCTCTACCTGTCTCCTGAGCTGCGCCGCTTGCCCAAACGTGTGGAGGCCAAGTCTGAGCTGAGGCTGCAGTCCTACGGGCCCCACTGCTCACAGTCCCGACAGTGGGGTAACGTGGAGGCCGAGCAGTGGGCCCCATCTCCACCACCGCCCCGCCGGTTGCCTCCCAACCCCTCCTGGGTCCCCGGGGGGCACAGCCCTTACTCCTCGGGGGGACAGATACTGTATGACTCCTGGGACCAGCGCCGGCGTAATGCGGAGAGCTCCGAGCCCCCACCTGCCTTGGTGTCACGAAGCTCGAGGCCCGAGGCTCAGGGCCACCGGGAGCACTACTCCCCCCAGTCCCATGGGCGGAGCCTCCCTGGCCACACCCACAGCCAGCCCAACCACAGCCCCCACCCCTCCACGGGCCACTTGGGCTACCTCTCCCGGGATTCCCACGAGATGCGCCGCCGGGCAGCTGACTGGGCTGAGGCTCTGCCTGCCCGGCACCCTCTCACCACCTCCACCTCCCTCACGGTTCTGGGCGAGGCCTCATACCAGCGAGCCCCAGCTGCCAGCTCAGTCCTGCTCCCCCACTCCTCCCAGCCCATGTCTGAACTCCAGGCAGTTGATCCAATCCCACCCCCAACCACATTCGTCCCACTCAGCCGGACCCCGGGGGGCAATGCCAGCTACCAGGTGTACGACAGCCTGGAGCTAAAACGGCAGGTGCAGGAGAGCAGGGCGCGGGCCAGCTCCCTGCCACCACCTTCCACCTCGACCTCCAGGCCCTCTTTGCACAGGAGCCGTGCAGGGAAACTGAACTGACCGGCAGGTGGGACGGGCGGTAGGGCAGGGCGTGCAGAGAGGAATAAAGAGACAGAGTCCAGGACACGCCGTGGTGGTCTGTGGTTTTGGAAGCGCCATTCCTTCCCCGAGCCTGAGTCCCTGCACTCGGATTCCTGAAGCCAGGGTCCCGTTCTCCGCCTGAGACTGCCCTTGGCTTCACGGCCACACTTCTGCCAGGAGAGCCCCTCCCGGTCCCATAGCACGCACTACGTGGATCTGCAGCAGCAGACTCCAAAGCCGCTGTCCTCTGGACACCCACCCTGTCTCTCTGCTCTCCAAAAGGGGGCTCAGAAGTTCAGGCTCCTTCAAAGACACCAAAGTCAGAATCAGACCTGGGGGCTTCCACATCTGGGCAGACCCAGGCCCAAGGCCCAGGGTAGGGCAGGAAGAAGGCCGACAAGAGATTCTAGCCTCGCCTCCCCACAGCTCCAGGCTCAGCCCCGGTCTCAGGAGGGCTCAAAGGGTGACAGGTACAGGATTCACCACGGAATGATGGAGCTAGGGCGTGCCTGACTACCTATGCCGCAGGGAGGGAACGACTCAGGGCCAGGGGATGGGGTGCCCTGGCCCCCAGGCCCTGTTTGCCAATCAGGGCTCAGGTTACACTCAAAGCTGATTACCAGCCGTCCTCTTCCGCCACCTCCCTCATTGTGACCCCAACCACCTGCCCCATTATGACTCAGTCCTTCTGCCCCTCCCCCACCAGGGGAGTCTGGCTCCTAGTGAGTATGTGGGGGCCAGGGGGCCCAGGTAGTCCTGGGACCCCAGGCCATGGGTGAGCGAGCCCACCACGGAGCCCAGGTGTGTTCTGGCACCAACCCCAGAAAATGCCAGGACTTAGGAGACTCAATTCTTCTGATTCTCGGCAGCTTCATCTTGCTCAACGTGGGGATCAATGTGGTGACTCTGGTCAGGGCGGGGTCTGGGCAGAGCGGGGGGGGGAGCTCTGGAGTTTGGACAGGGCTGAGGTGGGAGGGCTGCTGGGATGTGGGCGGCAAAGGGCTGGACTTCAGGGCTCACCCTGCCCTGCTCCCCTCAGCTCTGGAAGCATCTGAAGAACTCCTTGCGGATTCTTTTCCATCATTTTTTTCCCAAAGGTGAGTGGACCCCAGCACGGGCTCTCGGAGAAGCAGGCCTGTCCCCTTTCTTCTCTCCCCATCCTCGCCCTCAGTTTCTCAGGGAGCCCGGCTTTGTCCCGTCTCACCCCTCCCCGCAGACAAGCAACCCAGCGGGACCGGCAGCCACCCGGTGTGCATGCGCTGCGCCACAGATCCCAAGACCCTGTGCTCCAGAATCTCCTCCCGCTTCCACGGGCGCACGAGCTTCCTGCTGGGGCACCACGAGCACCCTGACTCCTGGACGCCAGACACGAACGAGGAGAAGGTTCCCAGGCTCTGGATGCCGCCTCCCTGTGCACATGTTGGGGCTCCAGAGGTTCCATGGGCACCGTGGAAGGAGGGGATGGCGGGGGCTGGGGAGGCCCCCCAGGCCTCAGCCTTGAAGGCCCAAGCCGCCTCGCTCTCCAGGCCAGTGTCATCGTCCCTGTTCCTGAAGATGAGCAAAGTGGACATGGTTCCGCTCCGCTTGCCTCAAGAGAGCAAGACAAAGGCCCATGCGCCAACCCAGTCCCATTCCCATTTCACAACGAACACCCCCAGCCACACTCAGACTCACTCTCCAGCCCACATCCCTGAGCAAACCCACTCCCAGACCCAGGGCCTTGAGCCCACTGCGGCCCCCACCCCTGCCGAAGCCCCACCCCCGCCCCCAACCCCTAACCCAGCAAAGGCCACAGCCCCTACCTCAGCCCAGGCCCCGGGCCACACCTCAGCCTCTACTCTGGTCCAGGACCCAGGCCACAACACTGCAGACCCTATCCCAGCCCAGGCCCCAGCCTCGGACCAGAGTCCTAAGCGTAGCCACTCCCAGGCCCACAGCCCCGAGCACACCTCAGTCCAGTCCTCCTTCAGGGTCCCTGCGAAAGCCTTGGCTCACTCTCAGGGCCACGACCCAGCCCACACCTCAGCCCAGGCTTGGACTGACTCCCAGGCTCCTGGCCCTGAGCACACATCAGCCCAGGCCCCAGAAGGCACCACAGCCCATTCTCAACAAGTCCACACTTACAGCCACACCCCACTCGCTGCCCCAGCCTCGGCTTCAGCCCTTCCCCCAAAGCTTGCCCCAGCCACGATGCCCGTCCTCACTCCTCCACAACCAGTCCCTGTCCCCGTCTGTGGCCCAGCCTCTGCTCCATCACTGGTCATGGCCCTGACTACCACTTCAGTGCCTTCTCCTATCCCTGCCACCGCCCACACTCCTGTCCTAAGTCCTGTTCCCTCTGCCCTGCCTGCCTTCAACCACGGCCTCTCCACTGGCCACGTGGTCTACGATGCCCGCAGAGTGAAGCAGAACATCTTCCATATGTACACCCCCCAGAACTCTGGGTGTCCCAGAAAGGACTTGAGTGTCTTCTCCAGGTCCCAAGACGGGCAGGGCCTGGTGAGTCCGGGGGTATCCGAGCAAACATTAAAGCCACGCAGTGGGGATTGTGCCAAGCCTCCTTCAGCACCTATCCTGGGCTACCTGGAGTTGGGGAATATGGAATGGAAGGTCTCCGACGATGCCAAAGACAAGTTCTCCCAGCCCAAGAAATTCTCTTACTGCAGCTTCCAACCTTGCAGTTCGGAGAGGAAGAGCTCCCAGGCTCCAGTCTACCCCAAGTTCCTGGTCTACTCTCAGGATGCTGCATCCTCTAAACCTTGCTTCCACTCTCCCACTGCTACACAGAACTCACTGTCTGCCCTTCCTCCGCCATGCACGCTCTCCTTGCCGCTCGTTCCTCCCAGAACCTACGTGGTCGCAACCAACCATCAGAAGCCCTCCACCTTAATTCAAACCCACACCCTTTTCTCGGCCTCCAAGCTGCCTCAGTCTATCCCACCTTGCCAATTCCCCATCCCTCCTCTGTTCTCCACCACTTCTCAACCTCTCGTCCAACCCCAACAACCTGAGCTTCATGAGGGTCTCGGCCTCATCCAAGACCCTGGCCACCAATTGACCTCAAGCCCTTCCAAGGACTCCAGAGTTCCCAGGAAGCCAAGCCTTACCCAAAATCCAGGCCTCCACAAGAGTCTGAGTCTTGCTCCAGATCCAGGCCTCCCCAAGTTCCCAGGCCTTTCTCAAGACCCTTACCTCTGCAATAATCCAAGCCCTTCCCAAGACACGAGACTACATAAGAATCCAGGAACTGTCCAATATCCTGGCCCCCAGAACAACGTAGGTCCTACTCAAGATGCCGGTGTCTTTAGGAACCCGTGTCTCACCCAACCCTCTGGCCTCCATAAGAATCAACCATTTACCCAAACTTCTGACCTTCAGAGTGCAGGCTTTGTGCAAGACGCCGGCCTCTATAGGAATCATGAACTAAACCGAGACGTGATAGTCTGCAAAAGTCAAGATCTCTCCCAAGCAACTGACCTCCAGAAGGTCCCAGACACTTCTCAAGTTTCTGGAGGTTATCAGAATACAGGCAACGTCCAAAATCCAGAAGTCTACAGGAGCCTGGGCCTCACTCAAGAGTCTGGACCACAGAAGAGTCCATATCTTGCCCAAGACCCTGAAGTCAACAAATCCTCGGGCCTTCCCCAGGAATCTGGTCTCCTCAAGAGTCCAGGCCTTGTCCAAACCTCTGGCCTCCCAAAGGGCCCAGACTCGGGAGACTATAAGAATCCAGGTGTTACCCAAGATCCTGGAGTCCGAAGGGACCCAGGCCTTTCGGAAGATTCAGGACTCCGTCAGAATCCGGGTCTTACACAAGTCACTGAAGTTGACAGAAGATTTAACCTTGCCCAAGATCCCGGAATTTACAGGAGCCCAGAACACAGCCAAGACCCTAACCTCCACAAGTACCCAGGAATTAATCAAGAGCCTGGTCCCCAGAAGGCCCCAGCCCTTACCCAAGACCCTGTAATCTCCCAGATTCCAGACTTTACCCAGAATTCTGGCCTCCACAAGGATTTGAGCCTTAACCCAGATCCTTGCCTCCACAAGAACCCAAGAGTTGCTCTAGGTGCTGAGTCTGTCCAAGTCTTGGATGCACATCTGACCCCAAAGCCAACACTCCCAACGAGGAAGTCATGTAGACCCGAGAAGGTGCCCCAGGAGAATGCAGAGCAACACATATCCTGGACGTCTGTTCCCATCAACCAAACCCCTTGTCCTTCCAAAGCCCAGCTGGTCTCTACTGACATGCAAACCTTCTCAGAAGTGCCCGTACTAATTGAACTTCAGCCATCCTCCCGGCGGGTAGGCAGCCAAGACTGGGTATACCGCCCTGTGGACACAGTTCCTTCAGCCTGCCAGAACTACCGCCAGATGTCTATGCCTCCCAAAATCAACTGGAAGTCCCACTGCCCTGGACCAGGTCCCCGGGCAGGACATGTGGTCTTTGATGCCCGCCAGAGACAGTTAGCAGTGGGCAGGGACAAGTGTGAAGCTCTGTCTCCCAGGCGCCTTCGCCAAGAGGCACCCAGCAACTCAGGGGAGACCATCAGGGAGTGGGGATATCAGAATGTGATGAGGACCTTGGACAAAGAGGGGTCCAAAGTGCATCAGGAATAAAGATGCGAGAGAAGTGTTCTTTGTTTGGTTGATGACACCTGCCCCAGCCCCAGCCGTCACACTGGCGACCCACAGTGCCTGAGGAGGGCGGTCCCTCCTCCAGGCTTCCTAGCTAAGCCCATCATCCTCAAGGTCCTAGAGCTGCACTGTCCAACTCAGTGACCACCAGCCATATGTGCTTATTGAAAAATAAATTCAAATAAAATAACATTTAAAACTCAAGGGGTAATGTTTGGTGCAGCAATAAAACCGTCGCTCGGGATGCCTGCCTCCCTTACCAGACTTTCTGGGTTTGAGTCCCAGCTCTGCCGTCCATTCCAGTTTCCTGCTAATGTGGACCCTGGGAGGCACAGGGGATGGCTCCAGTGGTGAGTCCCTGCCACCCTTGCGGAAGGCCTGACCGGGTTCTGGGTCCTGGCTTTGGCCTGGTCAAGCCCTTGGCTGCTGCTGGCATTTGGGAAGTGAACCAGCAGATGGGAGCTCTGTGTGCCTACCTTTCAATGATAAGAAAACTAAGTTAAAATTTTAATTTTAAAAAATAAATCTCTGTGCCTCAGTCTCAGGATCTGCATTTCAAGTGCTTGTGTCTATTGTGTTGGACACCACTGTTTCATTCAGGACAGTCCTATCATCACAGAAAACTCTGGTCTGTTGGAGAGGACTGCTTTAGAGAATTTTCTCTTGCCACCCATCTTTAACATTTTTAAGTTCCCACAGAGCCCAAGGATCATAGTTCTTGTTAGGGTGGTTCCCTGGGGAGGACGGGAGGTGTGGGGGGGGAGCTGATGCCTGGTGACCCCATACTGTGAGCAAGAACCCGGACTCCAGTTCTGACCTTGGCCTCTCTGTACAACCAGATGTATAGAAAGCTGCCTTCCCATTCTTGGCCGTTGTGGTGCACCCAGTCCTCTGGTTGTTGAGGGTACTGAGCTCTCTTTGTTAGAGTGGAACCCCTGAGGTCTGGGTTTCCCATACAGAGCTTCGGATTTCGGGAGACTCCTTGACCGCCCTCTAATTGCTCTCGGCATCCCTGTGTGATTCTCTTGTCCATAGTCTTAGGCCTCTTCCACCCTGGAGACAGAACATGGGCAGAAGGAGCATACGCAATCCTGGCCCGGGCTGGATGGGGCTGTGAGTCTGCTCCTGGCTTCCTATCTTTTTTTCCTGTGCTCCTGGCTCCTGGCTCCACCATCAAACACCCCCAAAACTGATTGGAGAAGTGGCTATAGGGTCGTAAAACTGGGTTTGCTCTCCCGATGGTCAGCAAACCAATCGCTGACACTGAGGTAGTGGTGAAAACAGTGTTATTGCAAAGCACAGGGCAAGGAGTCAGGCAGCTAATGCGTAATCCCTGGACTCCCCAAGGGAGTAAAATAGTAGGGTTCAAGATTAGGCATGAGCACTGCATGATCACCTCGTGCGCAGGCCTCTGGTTGGTCCACAGGGCACATAGTCTTCCTCTGATTGGTCAGTGATGGGGCCAGCATGCTTCCTTTGGTGGGCTCAAGTCTGTCCAGGCAAAAGGGTGGATTAGGTGCTAGAGTCTTTGATCAGGGTCTGTGAGTTCCTGCAAAAGTTCTCAAAATAGAGGCTAGGGGTTGGCGCTGTGGCATAGTGGGTAAGGCTGATGCCTGCAGTGCTGGCATCCCACATAGATGCCAGTTTGAGTCCCAGCTGCTCCACTTCCAATCCAGCCCTCTGCTATGACCTGGGAAAGCAGTGGAAGATGGCCCAAGTCCTTGGGCCCCTGCACCTGCATGGGAGACCCAGAGGAAGCTCCTGGCTCCTGGCTTTGGATTGGTCCAGTTCCAGCCATTGTGGTCATTCAGCAGATGGAAGATTCTCTCTCTCTCTCTCTCTCTCTCTCTCTCTCCCCCTCTGCCTCTCTGTAACTCTGCCTTTCACATAATTAAATCTCAAAAAAAAAAAAAAAAATAGAAGCTAGTGAGGTTCGTGTTGTGGTACAGCAGATTAAGCTGCTGCCTGCAATGCCAGCATCCACATGGGTGCCTGTTCAAGTTCCAACTGCTCCACTTCCAATCCTGCTCCATGTGAAAGCAGCGGAAGTGCCCAGGCCCCTGCCACCCATGTGGGAAATTCAGATGAAGTTCTAGACTCCTGGCTTCTGCTTGGCCTAGCCTGGGCCATTGCAACATTTGAAGAGTGAACCAGTGGCCGGCGCCGTGGCTCACTGGGCTAATCCTCCGCCTTGCGGCGCCGGCACACCGGGTTCTAGTCCCGGTCCAGGTGCCGGATTCTGTCCCGGTTGCCCCTCTTCCAGGCCAGCTCTCTGCTGTGGCCAGGGAGTGCAGTGGAGGATGGCCCAAGTGCTTGGGCCCTGCACCCCATGGGAGACCAGGAGAAGCACCTGGCTCCTGCCATCGGATCAGCGCTGTGCGTTGGCCGCAGCGCTCCGGCAGCGGCGGCCATTGGAGGGTGAACCAACAGCAAAGGAAGACCTTTCTCTCTGTCTCTCTCTCACTGTCCACTCTGCCTGTCAAAAAAAAAAAAAAAAAAAAAAAAAAAAAAAAAAAAGGAGTGAACCAGTAAATGGAAGATATCTCTCTCTCTCTCTGCCTTCAAATAAATTATTATTATTTTTGAGAGTGGACAGTGAGAGAGAGAGACAGAGAGAAAGGATCTTCCTTGGCCGTTGGTTCACCCTCCAATGGCCGCCGCGGCCAGCACACCACGCTGATCCGATGGCAGGAGCCAGGTGCTTCTCCTGGTCTCCCATGGGGTGCAGGGCCCAAGCACTTGGGCCATCCTCCACTGCACTCCCTGGCCACAGCAGAGAGCTGGCCTGAAAGAGGGGCAACCGGGACAGAATCCGGCGCTCTGACCGGGACTAGAACCCGGTGTGCCGGCGCCGCTAGGTGGAGGATTAGCCTAGCGAGCTGCGGCGCCGGCCTGCCTTCAAATAAATTAACTAAGGGGCTAGCATTGTGGTGTAGCTTGTAAAGGCGCTGCCTGAGACACCAGCATCCTATATGGTGCCAGTTGAGGCCCAGCTGCTCTGCTTCCCATCCAGCTCCCTGCTAATGCACTCAGGTCCCTGCAACCATGTGGGAGACCCAGAAGAAGCTCCTGGCTTCATCCTGGCCTAGCCCTAGCTGTTGTGGGCATTTGGAGAGTAAACTGAATGGAAGATCTCTCTCTCTCTCTCTGTAACGCTGCCTTTCAAATACATTAATGGAAAAAAAAAAAGGAATAGAGATTAGCATTGAGAAGATAGCTATGTTAAGTGATTTTTTTTTTTTTTTTGACAGGCAGAGTGGACAGTGAGAGAGAGAGAGACAGAGAGAAAGGTCTTCCTTTGCCGTTGGTTCACCCCTCAATGGCCACCGCGGTCGGCGCGCTGCGGCCGGCGCACTGCGCCGATCCAAAGCCAGGAGCCAGGTGCTTCCTCCTGGTCTCCCATGTGGGTGCAGGGCCCAAGCACTTGGGCCATCCTCCACTGCACTCCCGGGCCACAGCAGAGAGCTGGCCTGGAAGTGATTCAAGGTCGCTTACCCCTGTTTCACCCCCTTAATGAGTTCATCTTTACAGAGGAACCCCAACAAAGAGATATGAACAGCAAAGGCACCAGGGGTGAGGGGCTTGGGATCGGTTCCAGCCTGAGTTTAAGCTGCACTGTGGCTCTTTATTCCCGACCCTAATAACTGGGGTTTTGCCATGAAAAGGAATTTCAGTAACTTCCTGCCCTGGATCATTTTCCTTTGCTCAGCCAGGAGTTTGCTCTGAACTTGATCTTCAGTCCAGGTGACTCTTGCACGTTCACATCTGTGCTGCAAAATCCTAAAGTGTCAGAACCAGTGCTGTGGCGTAGCAGGTAAAGCCGCCGCCTGCAGTGCCAGCATTTCATTTGGGCACTGGTTCGAGTCCTGGCTGCTCCACTTCCGGTCCAGCTCTCTGCTATGGCCTGCGAAAGCAGTAGAAGTTGGCCCAAGTCCTTGGGCTCCTGCACCCACGTGGGAGACCCAGAAGAAACTCCTGGCTCCAGCCGTTGCAGCCAGTTGGGGAGTGAACCAGCAGATAGAAGATCTCTCTCTTCTCTCTCTGTCTCTGTGTAACTTTGAATTTCAAATAAATAAATAAACTTTTTTTTAAAATCCTAAAGTATTATCCCTGCCACAAATCATGCATCTGAGGTGGGCATCATTCATTTGTGTCTTCCAAGACCCAGATGTCCATTCTTGCATCACCATCTGTGTGTCCTTGCCTCAAACTACCACCAATGATTCCAAGAAGAAGCCCCCCAGGGGTCAGTGTTGTGGCGTAGTGGGTAAAGCCGCTGCCCTGCACACCGGCATCCCATATGGGCGCTGGTTCACATCCTGGCTGCTCCACTTCCGATCCAGCTCCCTGCTATTGGCTTGGGAAAAGCAGCTGAAGATGGCCCAAGTGCTTGGGCTCCTGCCGCCCACGTGGGAGACTGGGAAGAAGCTCCTGGCTCCTGGCTTCAGCCTGGCCCAGCCCCGGCCCTTGTGACCATCTGGGGGAGTGAACCAGTGGATGGAAGATCTCTCTCTCTCTCTCTCTCTCTCTCTCTCTCTCTATGTCTCCCTCCCTCTCTGTAACTCTTTCAAATAAATAAATAAATCCTTTTTAAAAAGATGCCGTGTGGCCAACACTGTGGTATAGTGGGCTAAGCTCTGCCTGCAGCACCAGCATCCTATATGGGCGCTGGCCCTAGTCCCAGCTGCTCCTCTTCCTATGCAACTCTCTGCTTATGGCCTGGGAAAGAAGTAGAAGATGGTTCAAGTGCTTGGGCTCCTGCACCCACATGGGAGACCAAGAGGAAACTCCTGGCTCCTGGCTTTGGATCGGCGTAGCTCCGGCTGTTGTGGCCACTTGGGGAGTGAACCAGTGGATGGAAGACCTTTCTCTCTGTCTCTCTCTCTCTCTGCCTGTCAAATAAATAAATATCTTTAAAAATAAATAAAAAATAAATTAACGCCTCCCTGCCCAGCCAGGCAGCCCCTTTCCAACATTTCCTTGGTTCATCTCTGATCTTGAAAAGTCGATGTGACCCTTCTAGGTTTCAGCCTCCTCCTTTGCAAAGTGAAATTATAATCGCATGGAAGAACCCTCTTGGATCCAAGTGACCATGGGCTCAGCCGCTCATACAAGGGAGCCAAGCGCCCCTACGTATCCCCAGGCCCTAGGGTATTTTCATTAACATCCAGCTTTTTATCCCTGGACTCCAACCCCAAGGCATGTTCGTGTGGGTTCGATCCGGGCTTGGAAAAAAAAAAAAAAAAAGCTAGTTTATCGCCACAGAAACTACAACTTCCATCCGGCACCACTTCAGCGGAACGGGAAAGGAAGTGGGGGCGTGGCTCCAACGCCCGGGTAGCGCGGGAAACAAACTACAACTCCCAGGGTAACGCGAGATCTCAGCGGAGCGAAAGAAGTGGCTGGACTCTGACTGGAGGCGGGGCCCAGCCGGAACAACCTCAACACCCTCCAGAAGGGGCGTGGCCTAACTGGAGGGGCGTGGCTACGTGGGCATCAGGAAGAAGTCACCTGTTGACTCGTTCTACCCTTTCTCTTGCCTACCCTTGTGGCTACCGCTGAGGGGGAATCTGCAGACCAATAAGCCTCTTCCGAAAGAGGTAAGGGGAGGTGGACAAGGGGCGGCGGCGGCGATGGGCGGCTGCCTTCCGTAGGAGGGGCCCCCAGCTACTTTTCACCTGCTGAGTCAGGTGAACTGGTTCACGGGGGTGGGGACCTGTCTATGAGAAAAGGGCACGGACGGAGGAGGTATTTGTTTATTTGGAAGACTAAATCTTAAGAAACCATCGTCTGCAGATCCATTCGTGGACTGTGGGACCCTCGGTGGGCTCCGGGAAGAGGGAGGAGGAACGGAGGCCACTTTCTGGCAGCAAAGGAAAACACCCGTGTAGGCTCTCGGCTGCCCGTGTTTCCTCCAACCCGAGACGGCAGAGCTGCATGGCTTCCACGGTCTGGGCAAGTGCCCCCTGGTGGGGCCCGCCGCCCCCCGCCCCAGCCCGGCCGCTCACGGACATCGACTTCTGCTCTGGGGCGCAGCTGCAGGAGCTGACCCAGCTGATCCAGGAGCTAGGTGTGCAGGAGAGCTGGAACAACGGGCCCAAGCCGGGAGCCGACCTCCTCCGGGCCAGGGATTTTGTCTTCTCTTTGCTTGGTGAGTAACCCTTGCCTATGGGACTCGCAGCTCCCACCCTTTCCACTCGCAGCCCCAGCTTTGGGCCAGGTCCTCACGATTCCTTCTCTTCTCTTAGGTCTCGTCCACCGCAGAGACCCCCGCTTTCCTCCCCAGGTAGAGCTCCTGCTGCTACGTGGTGGAATTCGCGAGGGTTCCCTGGATCTAGGGCATGCACCCCTGGGCCCCTACGCCCGGGGGCCTCACTACGACGCTGGCTTCACACTCCTGGTGCCGGTGTTTTCGCTGGATGGCACCGGGCAGGAGCTGCAAATGGACCTGGAATCCTCTTCCGCTTGGCTCCGCCTGCCAGAGCTGGTGTGCGGGACCTCAGTCCGGGAGGCCTGGCACGATTGCCTGGGACCCCCAGTGCCAGGAGGGCAGGATTCCGTCCACCAAACCGAGGACAAAGGAAGTCCCACGGACTGGCAAAGCCCGCTGTACCAGCCGCAAGGTTACCTCACTGAGCCTGAGGCACACGTGTCTTTGGGAGATTCACCAAGTGACGTCTTAGGGCCCGAGTCACCTCAGCCTGACGTCACTGATACTGGCTCTCCCGCACCGTTGAAAAACCTAAATAGTGATGTCACCAAGGCAGCCGTCCAGAGCGGAGTCCCAAAGCCATTGGAGGCTCAGGAGGCGTGGCCCACTCTGTGCCCCACGCAGGTGGCCGCCTGGTTCTTTGCTACACTGGCCGCGGTCGCCGAGTCCCTAATCCCGGTGCCAGGAGCGCCACGCCTGGTGCACGCAGCTCGCCACGCCGGTTTCACCACGGTCCTCCTGGCTACGCCCGGGCCCCCGCGCCGCCTCCTGCTCTTCGACCTGATCCCCGTGGTGTCCGTGGCCGGCTGGCCCTCTGGAGCTCGGAGCCACTCGTGGGCTGGTCCACTGGGCTGCGAGTCGGCCTCCTTCTACCTAGTGCCGGGTGGCGGCACCGAGCGACGGGGCGCCTCCGAATGGCAGCTCTGTTTCGCCCGCCAGGAGCTGGCGCTCAAAGCGCGCGTACCGGCGCCGCTGCTGCAGGCGCACGCGGCGGCCCAGGCGCTGCTGCGCCCGCTGGTGGCGGGGACTCGGGCCGCGGCGCCCTACCTCCTGCGGACGCTGCTGTACTGGGCGTGCGAGCGGCTGCCCGCGCTCTACCTGGCGCGGCCGGAAAATGCGGGCGCCTGCTGCCTCGGGCTGCTGGACGAGCTGGGCCGTGCGCTCGAGGCCGGAAAGCTGCCTCACTATTTTCTGAGCCGCCGACAGCTCAGCGCTGGGGATGGCTCCCCTGCGCTGCTGGGGGCATTGGTCCAGCTCCGTGGGGACCCTGTCCAGGCCCTGCGAGCGGCGGTGGAAGAAGCCAAGGTTGCCCGCAAGGGGGGCGGCTTGGCGGGCGTGGGGGGCGGGGCGCATTAAAGACGCTGCTCCTACCGGCGTGGAAAACGCTTCTTTCCACTGGCGATCGCGACGTAGAAGGCACTGGTCACCCCTCGCCCAGGAGACAGACTGCGCCCCGTGCCCACCGTCCAGTTCGCAGTAGGCTTCCCTTCAGGTCCTCATGCCCCCGCCGGCCCTGCGGCTCCAGCCACTCTCCAGATCTGCCGACAGCACCTCTCCCTCCCGGATGCAGCCTCCCGCAACCAGCCCTCCCCACTTCTTTTAGTCTTTTATCTTCGGAGCCCGTACAGATGGGAGGAATGTATTTGCTGACAAAATGCGGAAGGCATTGGGGTATGGAGACCAAGGACTGATCAGTTGGATTAAAGAGGCCAGGTTTCGCCCCGGGCTGGGTCTCATCCCTACCCCCATGTCTCCAGTTCTGCCCTCGCTTCCAGACCGGGCATTAGTGTCCCTCTCTTCATTCTCCCCGTGGCCGCCATTCCATCTCTGCGAAGCCCAGCCTCTCCCCCAATCCACAGCTCCGCTAATGAGGCCTCCTTGTCCCTCTCCCTCTGAACCCCGAGGCAGGAGGCCTGGCCTCGCCTTGCCTGCCTGCGGGACAGTCCCCACTCCCTGCCGCCAAGGAACCCCTGGGTTCCTCCCGCCCGGCTTCGCCCCCCTCTTTCCCGGCGTCTCCGCCCCCTGCCCCGCCCCCGGGCTGGCTCTCGGAGGAGGGGGAGCTGCTCTCGCCGCCGCCGCCGCCTCAGCTTCCCACAGCCGCTGCCGCCGCTGCCGCCGCTGCGCCTGGTCCAGCCTCCAGGCCCAGCGCTGTGACTTCGCCGGACCGGGACGCTTTGAGGAGACACCCTCACTCCTTCCCAGGGGTCCCGGACGCCTAGCCGGGCGTGGGGGGAAGCTCTGCTTGCGGGGGACAGGGAGGGAGGAGCCTGAAGCCGGAGCCCGCACCGCCCGCCGCCCGGATCAACGGGACAGGACAGGTTGAGGGGCGTCGGGGAAAGGAAGAGGGGGTGCTGTAGGCAGTCCCTGGGAGGACGAGCAAGCGCGGTCGCAGGAAGCTCTAATGAGCTCTGACTTGTAGGGGGCCTCTTCACATTTGGGGACTGGTGGCAACGTGGGTGCACTTCTCTCTGGGGGGCTGACTGGATGGGAGGGCGTGGGATCTAGACAGCGCAAGCTGTCATAAGGGGCAGTCCAGGAAAAAAGAAAGTGCTCATTCGGAGGTGACGGGGGCCCTCCAAACTACCACACCTGGGGTATCCATTAGGAAGGGCGGATTTGGAGGTGACTTGGAGAGGAGTGGAGGGTGACAAGGTGAGGAGAGGGTCTGTGGGCAGCTGGAGCCCTGTGCTATTAGAAATGGGAGTGATGGAGAAGAAAGGCAGTGTCCACCCAGGGGATCTGGGACCTGCTCCTCGCTGAATCCGGACAGCCTGTGTTCTCCCAGATATATTTTGGGGGGGGGATTTCAGTGGGAAAAAAAAAGTAGGAAATCATCTCCATTGAGAAGGTAGCAAAGGAGGGAGCACCAGCGTTGGGTTCCTCTCTGACATTGAGAGTTGTCCTGTGGGGCTGGGACGAGTTGATGGCCCCGAAGCTGGGACCCACACCTTTCAGATTATCAGAGTAGATCTGGCAGGAGTGTGGGCTCCAAAGCAGGGGGGAGAGGGAAAACTGGAGCCTCCTCTTGGGAGATCTTGGCTTTGGAACCCAGGGCGTGGAGACACACACCAGAGAGGAGTGAAGAGGAGGATTTTCAGTTAGGGGCAACATTCCAGGTGAGGGAAACCAAGGAGTGCATAGGCGGCGGGATCAGGTGGAGCCAGGATAGGGCCCAAGGGTGGGTGCTGGCGGCCACAGCGAGGACTGGGGCTTGCCTCAGGTCCTGTGGGTGGGGCGGTGAGCTGGGGCCAGGGAGTGGAGAGCATGCCCTGGTGAGCGCGCTGGTTTGGGGGTGTCTCCTCCTGGGGCGCCATGGCGGCGCTGGCCAGTAGCCTGATCAGGCAGAAGCGGGAGGTCCGTGAGCCCGGGGGCAGCCGGCCGGTGTCGGCGCAGCGGCGTGTGTGTCCCCGCGGCACCAAGTCCCTCTGCCAGAAGCAGCTCCTCATCCTGCTGTCCAAGGTGCGACTGTGCGGAGGGCGGCCCACGCGGCCGGACCGCGGCCCGGGTGAGTGCGGCTGGGGCGGGGGTCTCCGAGCCTGGGAGGTTGAGGCCAGGGACTCCTTAGAATGGGGCCCGGCGAGGGGGCGGGGAGTCCCAGAGTGGGTCAGGACCACAGAGTCCCTGCTAGACCGTGCCTCAGTTTCCCTTCTCTTTTGTCCATCACCCCGAGTCTGTGCTTTCGAGGGCAAGGGGCTAAGTCTGGCGCCCCGATGCCTTGCAGCTCCGGCCCACCCCACCCCCCAGCACCGGAGTCCCCACCCCCACCGTCCTCCGCCTACGTGCCGGTTCTCGCGATTCTTTCCGTCCAGAGCGGAGGGGCCGGGGCGCGGTGGGGGGGGGGGGTTCCGGACGCCTGGGTCACCCCGAGGGTTTCTGCGGTTCCGGCCGCCCCGCCCCCGCCCCGGTTCTCCCGCTTCAGCACGCCCTGGCTCGGTTCCTCCTGGTCTAGCTCGCCTGGCTCGAAGCCAATCTCCCCGGCTCTCCCCCGGTGTCCTTGCGGCCACCACGCCAGCAAGCCCCTCTGTGGGCCCTCCTCCCGCGAACTGAGCTTCAGGAGGGGAACCGGGCATCCCTCCGCATTCCCCCCGCGCGACTCCAAAACCGGGTCCCACTGGCTCGGGGGACCTTGCCAGGAGGAACTGAGGCACAGTTCTCCACCGGAGACTGGCGCGGAGACTTTGTGGGGGGGGGGGTCGTACCACCTACAAGGGGAACAGGGAAGTCGGCAGAGAGCAAGCAAGGGAGGAGGAGAGTTGTGAGGGTTAGTGTGTGGTCCCCGTCCGGGTGTGACAGCCAGGGAGTCCTTCTAGTCCCGCTACAGCCGGCTTCCAGCTCCCCTGGGAGTAGCCCCCTCACTCCCTCCTCACCCCGCCACCTGCCGTCCACAGTGGTACGGTCCGCAGCCCACCCTGGGAGAGGGACACGGTCCACACGTGACTCATCCTGCCACTCCATCTCCGCGGCCCCCTTCCCCCATTTCTTTGATATGGCATGGAATGTTCCCCACCCCATGCGGGTTACTTGAATGTAGGGGAGAGGCTGAGCCTCAGGGAGAGCTGGGCTCCTGTGGGTGCCAGCAGATTGACAGACTGACAGACAGACAGATTGGTCAGTGTCAGACAGGCGGGAGCCTGGCCAAGGGGAGGCCCGCGCCAATCCAGCAGCAGCCGCAGCAGCAGGTGCTGAGTCAGCGTCAGGCCTGGCCCCACCCCCACCCCTAAGGGGGAGCCCCTACCCTGTGGTCACCGGCCCCCTTCCCCCCACATTGGCAAACACTGCCCCTCCAGTAGCTGCCTGCCTCCCTCTGTCCCCTGCCTTTGGATGCTTCTCTTCCCCTCCTCCTCCATCTCCCCTCCCCCTCCGGTTGAGCTGTACAGTAGGAATTAAGCCATTTAAATAAATTTCAATAAATTAAACGGAAAGTGCGAGGTTAGAGGAAACAGAGGGGCCCACACCCCGGCTTCCCCAGCAGTCAAGGAGAGGTGGGCTAGAGTTGGCTGGCAGGATAAGAAAGCTGGGGCCGCGGGACCCCCTTCCTCTGCTCCCTTGCGTTTCCTTCTCCTGACCCTGCCAAGTGTAGCAGTGTTTCTGGGAACAGAGATGTCGTTTCCAAAGATGAATGTCTCTCTCTCTCTCCTCTCTCTCTCTCTCCAGAGCCTCAGCTCAAAGGCATCGTCACCAAGCTGTTCTGCCGCCAGGGTTTCTACCTCCAGGCGAATCCCGACGGAAGCATCCAGGGTGCCCCAGAGGACACCAGCTCCTTCAGTGAGGGGGGAGCCAGCTGGGGGCGGGGGGGGGAGCATGCGGGCAGGAGGTGGCAGTTGTGGCCCCTCTTCAGCTTCTGTGGCTTGCAGGCTCTCTGCCATGGATTGGGGGAGGGGGTGTGTGCTGGGGCAGCTCAGGTGCAGTGAGAGGCCTGGGTATTCATGTCTCCTCTCTCCACTCCCAGCCCACTTCAACCTGATCCCCGTGGGGCTCCGCGTGGTCACCATCCAGAGTGCCAAGCTGGGTCACTACATGGCCATGAACGCCGAGGGGCTGCTCTACAGCTCGGTGAGACACTGAGGCTGAGGGGCCTGGGGTACCAGGCACTCCCCCACCTGTCATCATACTCAACTACAGACATGGTCTGGTGGGGTTTTTGCAGCGCGAGTCCCTCGCCCTCCAACTTTGGCTGCTGTCACCACTGTCCATCCCAGAGCACCTCCTGTAGGGGCTGTCCGAACCCCCGCTGTTCACACAGCCCCCCCAAATACTCCCCGGCTCGTGAGTGTCTCATGTGTTCCGTCCTTTAGGGCCCCCACTTCTCATCATTCCTCCTCCAGACTTTGTTATTACTCACTTCCCCAGAGGCTTTCAGGACCGGGTATGGGGAGGAGATTGGGGATGGCATTGTGGTACAGCAGGTTAGGACACCCGCATCCCCAGCAGGTGCCACTTTGAATCCCCACAGCTCTACCTCCAATTCAGCTCCCCGCTGGTGTACCTGGGAAGACAGCAAGAGAATGACCCAGGTACTTGGGCCCCTGCTACCTATGTGGGAGAGCTGCATGGAGTTCCAGGCTCCTGACTTCAGCTTGGCCCAGGCTCAGCTTTTGGGGCCAGTTAGGGGGTGAACCAGTGGATGGAAGAGCTTTCTCTCTGTGTCTCTCCCTCTCTGTCACTCTGTCTATCAAATAAATAAATAAATCTTTTTAAAAAAGGGGGGGAGGATATTATTGCATGACCTCCAGAAGTCTAGTTCTTTCAAATTTTTTATTAAATTATTTATTTTAAATGATTTATTTTCACTTTTTTTTTTTTTTAAGAGATGGAGTGGGGTGGGGGAGAGAGAGAGACAGACAAGACAGACACAGAAAGATCTTCCATCTGCTAGTTCATTCATTCTCCAAATGCCTACAGCAGCCAGGGCTGGGCCAGGCTGAAGTCAGAAACCTGGAACTCAATCCGGGTCTCCCACAGGGTGGCAAGGACCTGAGTATGTGAACCATCATCTGCTGTCTCTCAGGGCGTGAATTGGCAGGAAGCTGGATCGGAAACAGAAGAGCCAGGACCTGAACCAGGCACATCAATGCCTGTGTGAGATGCCGATGTCCCGAGTGGCATTTTGAGCACCAGGCCAAATGCCGGCCCCCTAAGTCTAGTTTTCTTTCTTTCTTTTTTAACTCCCAGGGGCCTACCAGGCTATTCCTTAGCCTCCCTATAGCAGTTTCTGCATGGACCCAGGAGTTGCCCTTCCTTTCCCTGGAATGCACTGGATTATATCTTGGACTCTTCTATTCAAGGGCTTCCTTCTGCCCAGTGATGTGTCGTTTTGTTTCTCTGTGTGTGCCTCTCTGGGCCTGTCTCCACAGCCGCATTTCACAGCCGAGTGTCGCTTTAAGGAGTGTGTCTTTGAGAACTACTACGTCCTGTATGCCTCTGCTCTCTACCGCCAGCGGCGTTCTGGCCGGGCCTGGTACCTAGGCCTGGACAAGGAGGGCCGGGTCATGAAGGGAAACCGAGTGAAGAAGACGAAGGCCGCTGCCCACTTTGTGCCCAAGCTCCTGGAGGGTGGGTATGCACCCGAGACAAGGTGGGCCACGTGGGAGGGTGTGGGTACCTAGGGAGGGCTTCGGCTGCAAGCGTTAAGGGGGCCTTTAGCCTTTGATGGTTTGGGGGACTCTCCTCCTTTGGGCTGGGTCTAAGGGAGCAGGTAGGGGTAGGAAGCCCTGTCAGAGCACTGGTCCTGCTGGGTCTCTCTGTGCCTAACTCCCCTTCTCTGCTCCTCTCTGTCCCCTTTCAGTGGCCATGTACCGGGAGCCTTCTCTCCACAGTGTCCCTGAGACGTCCCCATCCAGTCCCCCTGCACCCTGAAGGTAGTTCCTGGATTCCAGACTCCCTGCACTCTCAGGGAGCCAGCCACCGCCAAGCCTGTCTCCCAGCCCTGCTCCCCACCCAGCCCTGCCGCCACACATATGCCCTAGGCAGCCAGGTCCCACCAGGTGCTCTACCCTGAGGGAGCCCTAGGGGCTGGCTGGGACTTCCGGGGCTGCTGGGACCCTTAGACCCGAGGGGCCCGGGAGGGGGTCGGAGAGAGGGGATGCCTGAATATGGGCCTGGCTGATTGCTACTTTCTTTCCACACTCCCTCCTCCCCCCACCAAAGCCTTTTCCTGAGATGGCACTGGGGCTTCCGAAGCTGACAGAGCCCTGGCTCAGCCGGTGCCTGGAGCCCCGTGTCCCTTTCATTGCCACTGAGCCATAGATGTATAGGTCCACTGGAGTCAGGATTCGTTTCCTTCTGTCCCTTCGCTACCTTCTGCCTTGGTCTGGACAGACTCTGGAGCATCGGACACCCCCAGCCAGGGCCACTTCTGCACCAGGGCTTTGTGCTGGAACCCAGGCGTGCCGCCAGGCTCCGTTCTGGTTCCCTCAGGCTTCTATCCTTGACCCAGATGGACCCTGACTTCCAAGGACAGAGAGGCCGGAATGGAGCCCTGTGTCGCTGTTGGCCTTGGCCCCAACCAGGACCAACCTCAGATCTCCACAGGTTTAACCTTCTTATCCCAGAGATACCCAATTCTAGAGCATGGTGTTCTAGACCTTTATGGAGCCATACTTTCTCCTGACTCTCAGCTCTAGGACATGGACCCTGACTCAGCCCTTCTCTCCGGCATGGAACTGGGGCCTATATAGCCATACTATTGCTCTAGCCTAGAGTAAGTTCCAGACCCCCACCCCCACCCCCTAGTGATACATATTAGAGATGAGCCCTGGAAAGGACCCAGCTATGATTCATAAAGAATTAAGTTCTGGATGAATCGAGAGCCACTGCTTCTTTTCCCTGGACAATTTTCTAAAAAGCTTGTTCTTCCATATAGGATGCTAACCTTATTTTTACATGCAGTTTCTAGTCCCTGCAATGCAGCTGGGGGTCCTGCCACAGAAACAGAGGATTGTGGAAGGGTTCCTGGCTCCTAGTAGGGAAACGGGGGTGGAGAAGGGACCAAAACCCTGGCACGACTGAACCTGGGTCTGCGCCGGGGGGGCCACGAACACTTAGCTACCTCAGCAGGAATTCCTTCTAGGTCCCCTTTAAAGCTGAGGTCTTTACGGTAATGGGTCCAGGAAGAGAGGACAAAAGTAAGTTTGTTCTAGAAAGAAAGGACAGAAGCCTTGAGTGTCCCCCCTCAGTGAGGAGACCCCAATTCAGCAATAAGTCCCTTCCCTTCCCCCTACAGGTCAGACAGGCCAAGGAGGGGAGGGCTTCTTGGGCTAAGACCATGTACACCCCAGAGCTTCTAACTGAATAGACTTGCTTTACTTTATAGCTTATAGCCTCAGCTGGGGTTCAGGTACCCCCCCCAAAAAAAAAGCCTGCCTGGATTTTTTTGGAAAAACGTGGAGAGTGAAGCATGGACCTGGGAAAGGTCGGAAGACCACTAGTGCTCTAGGGAGACTCCACGTGGAACTGAACAGGAGAGACGGGGCTCTGAGAGAGGGGCTTGTGCTCAAGGGCAGGCCACTTTTCCTCAGGAGCCTGTACTTCCGGCTTGTTGCAGGAGGGATAGATGCCCCCCCCCCACACACACACAAACCCCTGCTCAGGCTCCACCCAGCCCCTGGCTCCGCTCCCAGGGGACCGGGTCTCCATCCACTCCATGCTTTCTCAATTAAAGACGATTTATACAACCCAAGTGTTGTCTGTCTTCTGTGGATAATGGCAGTTGGTCGGGGCGGGACCAAGTCCCAGGGGCGGGACGGGTGGGCTGGCTGCTGCCCCCTGACAACAGGTGCACATTCCGGGGCGCCTCGTCACTTCCCCTGCGCTTGGCAGTCCCGGCGGCTCTCCGAACGAACTCACTGAGAGACAGGCCAGGCTATGACCCCAGGGGCGCTGCCGCTGCTGCTGCTGCTGGGGGTGCTAGAGGCACCCCTCGCGCCAGGTAAGTCTGGGTCCCGAGGACGCAGCGAACCAGGGCAGCAGAGGTAGTGGTCGGGCACCAGAGCTTCACTTAGTGCTCTCCTCTCCCAGGCGTCGGCGGCTCAGAGGCCGAGGGCAGACTCCGCGAGAAACTTTTCTCGGGCTATGACAGCTCGGTGCGGCCGGCGCTGGAGGTGGGAGACCGCGTCGGGGTCAGCGTCGGTCTCGTTCTGGCGCAGCTCATCAGCCTGGTGAGGGCGCTCGCGGGGGATCGAGGTCAGGCCCGCAGACAGGCTGGGGGCGTGGCCTTGCGCAAGGCAGGCCCGATGGACAGGCTGGGGGCGGGGCCAGACGAAATTGGACCAATGGACGGCCGCGGGTGTGGCTGGGCGGCTCGAGGGTGGAGCTGGGCAGGGTGATGAACAGGCATGTGGGTGGGCCTTGGGGGAGGGCTGGGAGCCGCTGGACTGGCCGCGGGGCCATTAAAGTTAGGACAAGGTGGGAAGGAGCCCTTCGCTCACCTCAGTCAATCAAGCAGCGGGCGGAGACCCAGGACTGGATGAATTAGGAACTGAGGGCGGAGCTGGAAACCGCCACCGGCAGAGGTCGGGGCCGGGCGGGGGGCTGCTTGAGAGCGCTTTGGGCGTAGAGACAACGCCAGGAGTGTGTCCAGGTGGAGGCGAGGCTTAAACGAACGCACCTACCAGGAGAAGGGGGCGGAGCATCCTGGGAGAGGTTCTCCCCGGAGTCCTCGTTTCTCTGTGCACGCTACATCGCTGCCCTTTGAATTTCTCCCACCTAGAACGAGAAGGATGAAGAGATGAGCACAAAGGTGTACTTGGACCTGGTACGGAAACCCCGCGGGGTGGGAAATGGCGTCCTTCTGCCTTTACAACTCCCTCGAACGTCCCGCCAGTAAGAATGTTTTTTGCAAGTCGACCTCAGAAAATATATGTAGGGGGGCCGGCGCCATGGCTCACTTGGCTAATCCTCCGCCTGCGGCGCCGGCATCCCGTATGGGCACCGGGCTCTAGTCCCGGCTGCTCCTCTTCCAGTCCAGCTCTCTGCTGTGGCCCCGGGAAGGCAGTGAAGGATGGCCCAAGTCCTTGGGCCCCTGCACCCACATGGGAAACACATGGGAGACGAGGAGGAAGCACCTGGCTCCTGGCTTCGGGTCGGCGCAGCGCCAGCCGTGGCGGCCATTTAGGGGGTGAATCAACGGAAGAAAGACCTTTCTCTCACTGTCTGTCTATAACTCTACCTGTCTAATAAAAAAAGAAGAAGAAAAGAAAATACATGTAGGGGCAGATGTCTGGCCTCCCGGTTAAGATGCCGCGGCCCTTATCCAATTACCTGGGCTCCGGCTCCGGCTTCCTGCCGTCCTCTGGACGCTGGGAGGCAGCGGTGACAGCTCAAGCAATTGGGTTCCTGCCACCCACGTGGAAGACCTGGATGAGCTTTCCAGTCCTGGCTTCTGCCTGGCCCAGAGGGGGCAGTTGTGGACATATGTGGGCAATCTCTCTGCCTAATAAATAAATAATTTTAAAAAGATTTATTTGTTTGAAAGGCAGAGTTAGAGAGAGAGACAGAGGTCTTCCATTTGCTGGTTCACTCCCCAAATGGCCACAACTGCTGGAGCCGGACTGATCCGAAGCCAGGAGCTTCTTCTGGATCTCCCACGTTGGTGCAGGGGCCCAAGGACTAACCTACTTTCCCAGGCCATTAGCAGGAAGCTGGATAGGAAGTGGAGCAGCCGGGACTCGAACTGGTGCCCATAGGGGATGCCGGCACTTCAGGCAACGGCTTCACCCGCTATGCCACAGAGCCAGCCCAAAGTGAATAATTTTTAAAATGCATTTATAACTGAAACAGAAGCTTCATAAAACAATACCTATGCTTACTTTGAGAGTTGCATTTCCTGCATTTTTCAGTCTATCTTTCTTCTTTTTAAGATTTATGTGATTCAAAGGCAGAGTGACGGGGGGGGGGGGGGGAGATCTGCTGGTTCACTCCTCAGATGGCTGCAACAGCCAGGGCTGAGCCAGGCTGAAGCCAGAAGCAGGAACTCTGCACAGTTCTCCCATGTGAGGTGACAGGGACCCACGTATGTGGGCCATCATCTGTTTCCCGGGTGCATTGGCAGGGAGCTGGATTGGAAGCAGAGCAGCTAAACCAGCACTCGTGTATATTCTGTTGCCCCGAGCTGGGGCTTAACCTCTTGTGCCACAACGCCCGCGTCTTGCTAGTTTTTGCTTTTTGTTTTAGCACTGGTTCCGGTCCACTAATTAAATTCTCCAAGAGTCTGAAAAGCAGTTTTAGAGGCTAGCTAGTGCGACCGCCTCATTTTTACGAACTGAGAGATCGGGACCCGATGTGGGGAAGAGAAGTTTGTTTACTGGGTCGGCGCTGAGCCGCGACCCCGGCCATCCCCCGCGGCCCAGGCCCCCGCCGCTCCCTTCCAGGGCTCCCTCCTGGGACATCCCAAGTCCCCTCCTGGCTCCCAGCTGCGCGTGGTCCCCTCAGCCCTCTGCTTCCCCAGGAGTGGACGGACTACAGGCTGAGCTGGGACCCCGTGGAGCACGACGGGATCGACCTGCTGCGCGTCACCGCGGCGTCCGTGTGGCTGCCGGACTTGGTGCTGCTGAACAAGTAGGGCTAGCCCGGGCCTCGGGCAGGGGGCGGGCCCGGGGGGCGTCGGAGACGGGGCCTGGCCCAGACAGCCAATGCCGTCCCTGCAGCAACGACGGCAACTTCGATGTCGCTCTGGACATTGACGTCGTGGTGTCGCCCGACGGCTCCGTGCGCTGGCAGCCCCCGGGCATCTACCGCAGCAGCTGCAGCATCCAGGTCTCCAGCTCGGCCTGGGGGGCTCCGGGAGCCCTGGGAAACCCTCTCTCTCCTTCGATACCCCGATTCCTCTGCGACTCCCGGCCCTCCCTCCTCGTCTGCACGACCCTCATTTCTCCTTTGCTCTTCTGCTTTTCCGTTGACTGTCGTGTCTGTGCACTTTGACTTCCAGACTTCTTTGATAACCGCCCCCACCCGCCCCATTTCCCCAATGGGCTCCCTTAGTAACCCCGCGACTTTCTGCAGCCCCCCTTCCCTCTGCCCTCTGCTGGTGATCCCCATCTGCCCGGTCCCCCAGACCCTGTGGCCTCCCCGACTCCCCCAGCCCTGACTAATTCCGCCCCGCATGCAGGTCACCTACTTCCCCTTCGACTGGCAGAACTGCACCATGGTGTTCAGTTCCTACAGCTACGACAGCTCCGAGGTCAGCCTGCACACGGGCCTGGGCCCTGACGGGCAGGAGCGGCAGGAAATCTACATTCATGAAGGGACCTTCATTGGTGAGTGGGCATGGCTGCCACATGCCTGGGCTTTTGTGAGTTCCAGCTTCCAGAATGCATTCTGTCAGCGATGCCCAAGGCAGCCCTGGGGAGGCAGCAAAATGACCATCTCCCTGCTTCACGAATACAGAAATGGAGACTCGTCCAAGGTTATTAGAGACGGGCTGCTGCCCAATCCGGTGTCCGCAGCCGGTCCCTGTCCCATCAGCCCCCTCAGGCCTAGGCTGTGGCCACACCTGACTCCCCTGTCTCTAACCCTTCTTCTGCTTCTCCCCCTCCCCCAGAGAATGGCCAGTGGGAGATCATCCACAAGCCCTCCCGGCTGATTCAGCCTCCGGGGGACCCCAAGGGAGGGAGGGAAGGCCAGCGCCAGGAAGTCGTCTTCTACCTCATCATCCGCCGGAAGCCTCTCTTCTACCTGGTCAACGTCATTGCCCCGTGCATCCTCATCACGGTCCTGGCCATCTTTGTCTTCTACCTCCCGCCAGACGCAGGTAAGGGGGCAGGGGCCCCAGCCCTCCTCATTGTTAACCCACTCCCTCGTCTTCACCTTCATCCTGCCAACCCAAACCACCAGGGATTGGGCTTCAGGAACCTCTTCCAGGTTTTCCCTCCCATCAAGTGGCCCCAACCTCAGGCTCTGCTACCTGTTCCCCTGCAGCCAGTGGCCTAGCCCGCCATCCCGGGAGCCCTCACTCCTCTGCCCAGCACACTGCCAGCCTGGGACCACACTCCTCTTCCCTTTCGCCATAGCTGGCATCCCTCTCCCCATTCCTCAGACACCCATAGCATCCTATCTTCCTGGAAAATAACAGACCCACTTTCTTTAGGAGGCCTCATGGGATAGTAATCTGGGCAAACTGCTTCATCTCCATGTGTCTCGGTTTCCTGATCTGGAAATGGGGATAATCATTGTTCCAGCTGCATAAGATTATTTTAAGGATTGACCCGGGGCCTGGTACCTAAGCAGCTCTGGTTGGGTAAAGTGTTGGTTTGCTTTCTTTCTTTGATTTGAGAGAGTGAGACAGAGACAGTGACGGAGAGACAGACAGAGCTCTCCCATCTGCTGGCTCACACCCTCACCAGCCCTCTGTGAACTCAATCTACATCTCCCACTTGGGTGGCAGGAACGCAACCCCTTGAGCTATCACCCAGGGAGATCCAGGGCCCACATCAGCAGGCAGCTGGAATCAGGAGCCAGAGCCCAGTGTGGAGCCCAGGTACCCCGCAATGGGATGTGGACATCTTAACTTCTCTGCTAAATGCCTGCCCCAGTTATTCGCTTTTTTACTACAGTTGGGCACTTGCTGTAAGGTAATACAAACCAGCAAGTGACATGTATGAATTCCAGTCTTTACAACAACGCTGTGAGGTAGGCACTGGACTGGCATTCTCACTGCACAGAGAAGTGTAAGGAGGCTGCGAGAGTTCCAGTCATCTGCTTGACGTGACGTAGAAAGAAGCAGTGTTGCCGGCCAGAGCCAGTCTGATTCAGAGACCCAACATTCTTAATTCCGGTATTCAGAACCGGCTTTCCTCCTCTCTGGCATCAGTCGTCTATCTAGAGGAGACTGATGAAGCTCCAGAAGAGACTTCCAAATGTAACCCATACCTCCTTCCGGGAGCAGGGCGAATCTTGGAACCTGATATAATTGGACTGAAGTGGAGTGGACTGTAGGGGTTATTTCCGTCTGCTCCATGAAGCTTGTGACTACTGTGGTATGCCGCAGGAATAATCAGCCACCTGGCCTGTCCCTGTATACTTTGTTTCATTTTTAGATGCTTCCAATGGCTGTGTCGTTCCCTGAAAATGGCCATTCATTCATACAACACTATTTGTTGAGTGTCTACACGCTAGGCAGTGGGACACATCAGTGAATAGAAGAAATAAAAAGTCCCTACCTTCCTGGCGTTTGCATCCTAAGGGAGGAGTCGGCCAATAAACAAAATAGATAAGTGCACTACCTGACATATTAGAAGAGGGTAAGTCCGGAGAAGGAAAGTAAGGCAAAGGCAATTGTTGAGGATGAGAATTAGGGTAGAAGTTGCAATGTAATAACGGGATCCAGCGAATGCCTCATTGAAAAGGGACTACCACATAAAGTTGAAATTTTACTAATGAAAAAGAAAAAGAAAAGGGACGATTTGAGCAAAGGCTTGGAGGAGAATGATGCCGGGAAGTGTCTGGAAGAATCCTGTGCTCAGCCAGGGGCCGGCGTTGTGGCACAGCGGATTAAGCAGCCATCGGTGATGCTGGCATCCCGTATGAGCGGTTTGCGTCCCGGCTGCTCTACATCCAGTCCCTGGGGAAGCAATGGAAGATGACCCAATACCTGGGCCCCTGCCACCCAGGTGGGAGACCTAGATGGAGTTCCTGGCTTCAGCCTAGCTCAGCCCCAGCCATTGCGGCCATTTGGGGAGTGAACCAGCGGATGGAAGATCTCTTTCTGTCTGTCCCTCCTTCTCCCCCTGTAACTCTCTGCTTATCAAATAAATAAATAAGCCGGCGCCGTGGCTCAATAGGCTAATCCTCCACCTTGCGGCGCCGGCACACCGGGTTCTAGTCCCGGTTGGGGCGCCGGATTCTGTCCCGGTTGCCCCTCTTCCAGGCCAGCTCTCTGCTATGGCCAGGGAGTGCAGTGGAGGATGGCCCAGGTGCTTGGGCCCTGCACCCCATGGGAGACCAGGAAAAGCACCTGGCTCCTGGCTCCTGCCAGGATCAGCGCGGTGCGCCGGCTGCAGCGGCGGCCATTGGAGGGTGAACCAACGGCAAAAGGAAGACCTTTCTCTCTCTGTCTCTCTCTCTCACTGTCCACTCTGCCTGTCAAAAAAAAAAGAAAAAAAAGAAAAAAAAAAAGAAAAAAAAATAAATAAATAAAAATGTGCCAGGCAAAGGAACCAGTAGAAACAAACAACACAAAACAGCAGCAATGCAGTAAGGGAGTTACTGGGAAACGCTTGCAGGTATTAGTAAGCACTCTGCTTTATGCTGAAGGAGCTGGACAACCTCAGGTTTTATAGGGGAAGGTTGTGCTCCGATTATATTTCAGCAAAGTCAGTCGACCTCCTCGTTGAGAACAGGCAGCAGGGGATGAAGCAGAGAGACTAGTTGCGAGACCTTTATATAAATCAGACCCGAGGTGATGGTGGTAGATAAGCCGTCATCAGTCTCAGGATATATTTTTAATGGAGAGCCAATAGGGTTTGCTATTGGCTTGGATATGGTAGGAGAGAGAGAGACAGAGAGATCAGAAGAGTTTGTCCTCATCCACAAGAAAGGTGGTGTTGTCACTGATGAGCTGATGAGATGGGTGAGACTACGGGAGGAGAAGCTCTGGTGGTGTGGTGGTGACAGAAGTGGGTTTGGGACATGTTAAGGCCCACATGTCCAGCGGCAGGGTTGAGTTGGCAGGTGGCTGTGAGGCTGGAGTTCTGGGAAGAAGTCCAGGTGGGGGTGCAAGTGTGCGAGTGGTGTGCAGGCAGTCAGCCCTTTCAAACGCCTGTCCTTTGGTAGGCTGGGAACATGGTTACTATGCTGCAGATTCCCTTCTGGCAAAAGCCAATCTTTCTGCCTTCCCCTCTGCCCTCCAAGGAGAGAAGATGGGGCTGTCGATCTTTGCCCTGCTGACCCTTACCGTGTTCCTGCTGCTGCTGGCCGACAAAGTGCCTGAGACGTCCCTCTCGGTCCCCATCATTATCAAGTACCTCATGTTCACCATGATCCTCGTCACCTTCTCCGTCATCCTTAGTGTCGTGGTCCTCAACCTGCACCACCGTTCACCTCACACCCACCAAATGCCCCTCTGGGTCCGTCAGGTGAGAGAGATCGCCTCCTCCAACCTGTGGTAGCTCCTGCGGCCGTGAGGCTGCGTTTCTTTGTCTGTGTGGCTCTGTGGGATCATGGCAGGCTTGCCCACGAGTGGACGTGTGGAGTGGGGTGGCTGGCTGCTTGCTTTCTGCTCTGAAAGCGTGAGAGTTCCTTTTACTATGCCTCTCTTTCTGCTCTGCAGATCTTCATCCACAAACTCCCTCTCTGTCTGGGTCTGAAGAGGCCCAAACCTGAGAGAGACCAGATGCCGGAGCCCCCTCATTCTTCTCCTCCAGGAATTGGCTGGGGTCGGGGAACAGATGAATATTTCATCCGGAAGCCACCGAATGATTTTCTCTTCCCTAAACCCAACAGGTAGGAGCTACAGCCATCCCCAACATGGACAGGAGAGGGAGAACTACAGTTCCCATAAGACTTTGCGGGGAAGCAGGCAACCCGTGCTTCCGGAAGACGTTTAGCTGAGCATCATGGGAGCTGTAGTCCTCCTGTTCACTGAGGAAAAGTGGGAACTAAAGCTTGGAGGGGTGGGAGAAGTTGCCTAAGGCTGGAGAAGCCGCCGCTGGCAGGGAGAGTCTGAAGAGCCCTCTCATGTTTTAAGTGCTAGCAGGTTATTGCAGGAGGCGGTTGGCGCAGGGCCTAGGTCACTGGCTCTGCTCGTGGGTCTTTGCGCCCGGAGCGTGGCCAAGCAGTCACGCCTCTTCCAGGTTCCAGCCTGAACAGATAGCTGCCTTGGACCTACGGCGATTTATCGACGGTCCAAACCGGACTGTGGGCCTGCCTCCCGAGCTGCGGGACGTGGTTTCCTCGATCAGCTACATCGCTCGCCAGCTGCAGGAACAGGAGGACCACGATGCGGTAAGTCCCGAGAGGGTGGAGGGAGGCAGGGCCTCGCTGACCCTGGCTCCTCCCTGAAGCCCGCGGCTCCGCCCCCCCGCACTCACTCTCGTTTCCGATTGGAAAGTTTGCCCCCTGTGGTCCCGCCCCCTGCAGGCCGACTGTCCGTCGCCGTGGGGGGGGGGGGGGGTCTCGCTCGCCTACTTGGGACGCGGGGTAGGGGAGCCCGAGCGAGGTCCGTCTCTGCAAGGGCGGGCTTCTCTGGGCGCCTGGGCCTGGAGTTCACACAGGTCCCCCTGCCTGCCCCCAGCTGAAGGAGGACTGGCAGTTTGTGGCCATGGTAGTGGACCGCCTCTTCCTGTGGACCTTCATCATCTTCACAAGCGTGGGGACCCTGGTCATCTTCCTGGACGCCACCTACCACTTGCCCCCAGACGACCCCTTTCCTTGAGGACGGCTGAGCCGAGTTCGGTGGTTCTCTCCAGCGCCGTCATCTTCTGCCTCCCGGTTCCCCTGCTTCGGAGGGAGCTGGGGTAGGGCTGGGGGCTGGGCAGTGGGCTGCTTTAGTCTTTGGGTTCTTCTTTGGGAAATCAACAAGTAGAACAAAGAACAAGAACTAGATTGTAAGCCTCGTGAGGGCAAGAAATGTGCCTTGTTCACCACAAGATGCCCAGCATCAGGTCCTGACCTAGAGTAAGTGCTTACAACTTGTTGAATGAATAGGAGGGAAAATTCTAGAAGGAAATACACCCGTCAGTATTTTTTACGTTTGCATGTTGGGACTGTTGGTCATTTTGTTGTTGTTGTTTTAGCCTTTCTGTAATGTATTTTGTTTTGTAATGAATATTGTCTTTAGGATGAAAAAAATTATTTTTAAAAGGGTGTATTTGTAATGAGAAGGGGTGGGGGGGACATTTAAAAGACCTCCATTAAAGTTCCAGCTTTGATGCAAGACCCTGGGCAACCCACTAAACTTCGTACCTGTAAAACGAGCTAAATAACAGTGTATGCTTCGGGGGGCTGCCCGAGGCTCGTGTGAGAAGGTGAAAACAAGCAGATTCAGTGTATAGCAGCGGTTGCAAACTGGTGTGTTTTGTTTGGTCCATGTTGTTGGCCTGCACATTTTAAAAATCTGGATTATTTCACAAAGAAATTAAGATTTCTGGCTTCTCTTGAAAAGATTTGTTTTAAAACTATAATAAAATCGGCATGGGCATTGTGCTAAAGAGGTTAAGTTGCTGCTTGGGGTGCCTGCATCCCATATCAGAGTGCCTGGGATCGAGTCCTGCCTTTGCTTCCAATCCAGCTCCCTGCTAATGCACACCTTGGGAGGCAGCAGATGATGGTTCAAGTACTTGGGCCCCTGACACCCACATGGGAGACCCAGATGGAATTTCTGGCTCCTGGCTTCCGGCCTGGCCCAGCGTTGGCTCTTGTATTTGGGCAGTGAACCACCACTTGGAAGATTTTTGTCTTTCTTGTAGTTCTACCTTTCAAAAGAAAAAAAAAGATATATAGTATCGCTCAGCCTGGGTCCCCTGTTGGAAGCCACTTACTAGAGCTGACTAATGGGTGCTCACTCTGGTCAAGGCCACCGCTTGCAATGCCCGCATCCCATATCAGAGTGCTGGTTTGAGTCCCATATGCTCTGCTTCCGCTCCAGCTTCCTGCTAATGCGCCCTGGGAGGCAGTGGATGATGGCTCAAGTGCTTGGGTCCCTGCCACCCCTGTGGAAGACCTGGGAAGAGTCTGGGCTCCTGGCTTTGACCTGATCCAGCCCTGGCTATTGCAGACATTTGTGGAGTGAACCAGGGATAGAAGTTTCTCTGTCTCTCGCATTCTGCCTTTTAAGTAGATAGAACATAAAAATATAAAACCAGCATTAAAACAAAGATTACTTGTGCTACAATTTCTCAAAGCCTCCACTCACCTGACCTGCTGATCCCTCCCTTAACATTAGAAAAGTACAGGGGAGGAGAAGCAGAAAGGAGTGGAAAAAGAAAGTGTGGGTCTCTTATGCTGCAGTCTCCTTTCATCTTGGAAAAGGCTTGGACCTGCTTTCAGGACACTCTGGGGAAGCACAGATCTTGCTCTGAGCAGCCGGGCACAGCAGGCAGGGCGAGCTGGACTGAGCTGATGTTTCTGCCTGGTGTTGGGCCACAGTCAGCTTGTGTTCCCTGCCTGCAGCAGATGACAGGGAAGCGCCTGGAGTTAGCAAGCCCTCACACCCTCGGTTGCCGGAAGTTGCTGTCCTAGGAGGGGAGATAGGGTTTCGACTTCCGGGGATCCCCGTGGGACAAGGTCAGCATTTCCCCCAGACCCGCCAGCCACACAAATAACTGCACCTGGTATCCCACTGTAGAGCACAGTTTGTTTGTCCTGTTGGTTTATTGGCCTAGAGAGTTGGACACACACACAAATGCGGAGATAAATATTGGTCAGTTTTTCTAAATCTGGGTCCTCACTACAAATAGAGCTAGAGTCTGTAGAATTCTAAATCTTGCGTGCTGTGGCACAGAACCGGCGGTCCTCGCACCCTCCCCCCCACCGCCCTTCCTCCCAGGGAGCACGGGGAAGACCTGATCATTTTCAAAAGACAAAATTGTAAGATTCCCCAATTTCCAACATCTGAAACTCACAGTAGTCAAATTCCCCAGCTCAGATACATATATTGTATTTTCCACGTCGCCACGGTTCTCGTTTGCTGCCCAGACCCACCGAATTCCGGAAGCTATTCTCCTTAGTCGTATTTTCAAAAACAGAAATGAAAAAGAAATATCTACGATCTCGATTCTCCCAAAATGTGCATGGTGTTGAGTTTTGACCTATTCTGAAATTCAAATTCCCGATCCATCCTCAGCCCCCTCCCTGGCCCTGTGCCCCAGAGGAGTGAGGCAGGGTGAGGACACGGGGGCGGGGCTCTCATGGCTTCGGCCCCTGCCTCCAGGCCCTCAGTCTCTCTTGTGGTTCCGCTGTATATATAGATATATATAATTTGTGTGTAGATATATATATGTATTCTTTATTATGTATTTTTCCGCAGTTTTTCTAAAGTGCCAGAAACAAGACTTGTGGGAATTTTTAGTGATTTTTTTCTTTTCTTTTTTTCTTTTTTTGCGTTCTTTTTCCCTGTTTGAAACTCCCCTCCCCCTCCCTTAAAAATTGGAACTTGGTACATTCAGTAGGAAATTCTTCACTCAGGTTGTGGCCAACACCAAGAAAGTGCAAAGAGACAGAGGAGGAATGAAGGAGTGACTCCTCCGTGGTCAACATTCAGGGAAATGTCGCAAACCTCCCCCTTCCTCTACGCTGGGGGGCGGGAGGACGCTCCTGGCCCTCCCCCAGGACCACTGCCCTCCAAAAGCCACCGTCTTGCCCTCTGAGCATCTGCTGAGAGGGCAGCCATCTTGGCCCCCCTTCCCACAAAAAAAAAAAAAAAACAAAAAAACAAAAAAACAAAACAGTAGCTGGGTCAAAGGCGGCCACTTTGGTGGCAGCAACTTTTCCCCTTTTGAAACTGCACTCCTCTAATCCCCGTGTGTTAAATTTGCTCCCCTAAACTGGCTCTCCCCTTTGTGAGCTGTTTTTTATTTATTTTTTTGTCTTTTGCAGGGTGGGAGGTGGTGGGTAGGATGGGAAATGTCCATCCCATCACAGAGCGGGAGGCCCAGTTTTCAGAGAATCAGGAGCAAGGGTTTCCTCATCTCCCCCACTGGAAGGAAGTACAGGGACCCTGACCAGGGTTAACTAGTGCAAATTAGGGGTCAGGGACTACTGCAGGTCCCTGCACCCCATCCCTAAGCTGGGATCTTTGGGTGTGGGGAACTGAGTCAAAGATGGGGTGTAAGGTGCTATTTTGGAGGGAAAAACCGGTGGGGATACCCCAAAGCCCACCGGGAGGATAGGATGGTTCCCCCAAAACCATCTGGAGTGATCGGTGAGGGCAGCGACACTGGGAAAGACGGGGATAACGGTGAGGATGGAAGGTCATGTGCAAATCTTGGGCGTAACCCACCCATCCAACCCCCCATCATTTTTCTGGCTATTTGGTCTAGTCTGGGAGAAACCAGCAGGAAAAAAACAGGAAGTAGCTTCCCTTCTCCAACCCATGTGGATTTCTTCCCTTCTGGCCCCCAAATCTGGTTTAGCCCAGAAGAGGCTCTACGTAGAGGCAGGAAGAGGTGTGATCTATTCACCTCCTTTGCCTTGGAAGTATCTGGGGTTCACTGGATTTGGAGGTCAAGATAGGGCCATGATTTCCCTGCCCCAGGTAACAGGAACAGAAAGGTAGCCCTTCCCTCAACACCTCCCTGACCTGGACTGGGAGAGGCTGTCTCCGAAGTCTAGGAGGGTGGGGAGGAGTATGGAAGCTCCGAAGGCATGGAAGCCAAGGAAGGCGTGACCTCTCCAAGCGACGGAGGAAACCCCTGCTCCCACGGGAGGGGGTCGGGCATCACAATGGTCTGGTCCAGGCTCTGGGCCACAAAGAATGGAATGTGCTAGGAAGCATCTGGGGCGGGGCTTAGAGAAGGCTTCGGAGAACTAGGGGCGCTCCTTAGGTGAGAGAGATGGTTTCCCCCTAAATTTGCGAATCAGGGGAGCAGGTTAGACATTCAGAGCTGGTGGGGGTTGTGAGTAGAGATTCAGATAAGTATATTGCTCAGTGCCCCGAGGGCTGAGAAGGATGGGAGCTGGCCCTTGCCCCTCTTGGGGGCCATTCCCTGGAGGAAGATCGAGAGGGGGAACCACCAAAGATCCCTTCCTAGGAGATGGGAAAACTACAATCTCACACAAAGCAGCCTGGCCCCTGAGCTCCAGGGGCCCCCCGAGTCCCTGCACAAGAGTGTGGAGGGGCTCCCAAGGGCCAGGGAGGCCAGGAAGCTGGTAGTGGTGGGGGGTGCAGGGAGGGTGGCATCTGGTGAAAGGGGGGTCTGGCCCCAGAGCTCACCCCACATCTCCCTTCTGGGTTCTCTCAACCCCTGCCCTTTCTCCTTCTCCCTTAGGGGGGATTGGTGGGGGAAGAGTTAGGGGAGGTGGAGTCGGGGGAGTAGGGGGTGCTGCTTGAGGATTCACTGCGTAGCCAAAGACCCCCGGTAGGAAGGGAAGGGCCCCTCCACCCTTCTCATCAGGTAGGACCATGTTGAGAGCGACTGGGAGAGCAGCCAGGTTGCTGAAGTTGTACGGGTAGGCGGCAAGGAGCTGGGGGCCATAGACCAGTGGATAGGGCTCAGGGTAGAAGGTGACTTTGGCAGCCCCCATCCCTTCCATCCGGTCCCCCTCTGGGGCTCCCATTGGCCCCTCACTCCCAGGTTTCTCCCGGCCGCTCCCAATCAGAGCCAGTGGAAATTCCTGCACGGGCTGGTACGCGTAGCTGCCCGCCCCTGCCGCCACCGGGGGCTCCTCACCCCCCGAGATGACCGGGTCCTGGAGCGAAGCGGTTTCGGAAGCTTCCTCCGCAGCCGCGCTCCCGCCGCCCGCCTCGCCGCTGGAGGAGGAGACTTGCATCTCCTGCGGGGCCTCCTCCTTGACCTCGCCGGGCCTGGGGCCAGCGCTGCCCTTGGAATAGGCGATGACGGGGGTGGGCGCGCCCCCAGGCCGCTCGGCCGCGTGCCTCTGCCCGTGGCGGCTCAGGGCGGCTGCCGTCTTGCACACCTTGGCGCACTGCGGGCAGGCGAAGCGGGTGGAGGGCCTCCTGCCGGCCCGGGAGCCGTGCGAGCCCCCGCTGTGGGCCTCCTGGTGCTTGCGCAGCTTCCTCAAGGTGGCGAAGGTCTGGGCGCAGTCCCCGCAGCGGTGCCTCCGCTCGCCGCGGGCCCGCCCTGCCGGGCCCTCCGCCGCCGCCGCCGGGGTCTCCTCCCAGCTCCTCCGTTCCAGCTTCTGCCTCCAGCGCGGGAGCCGGCGGCTCCGGGGCACCCCGCCGCCGCTGCCGCCAGCGGCTCCGGCCTTGCGCTTAGGCTTATAGGAGTAGTAGGGCCTCCAGAGCTGGTCCTCCCCACCAGCCTTCGATTCCTCCTCGTCCTCCTCCTCCTCGTCCTCCTCCTCCTCGTCCTCCTCCTCCTCACTCTCCTCCACCTCCTCTCCGCTCAGCTCCCCAGGACGCAGGTCAGTTTCTGAGATGCGGCGCTTGACAATGGCCTCCTCCCCAATTCGCACAGTGATCTGACACAGTGGAGGCGGAGCCTGTAGCTGAGAGGGGACCCGGCCAGGGCCTGTGGGGGGACCCCCGCCCCCACCAACCCCGCCCACGGGCTTGGCTGTGTATGTCAGGGTCCTCCCTGCCCGGGGATTCCGGCCCTTGGCCTCCTCCGCAGAGGCCGAGGCTGGCCCTGCCGGGGTGGCTGGGCAAACAGCAGTGGCAGGGCCCGTGGGTGTGGCTGCAGGCTCAGGGGGTGGGGGTGGGTATTCCCGCTTCTTGGGGGGTCTTGGGGGAGCAGTGTAAGTGATGACGGAGGCGGCCTGGGACCCTCCAGTGCTTGCTGGCCCACCTCCTGCTCCACCACTGCTACTGCTCCCGTGGACAATGACAGAGGGGGCCGGGTGAGCGAACGTGATGACAGAGGGCGGGGGGCCGGGCTCGGGGGCAGGTGGGGGTCTGGGAGGGGAGCTGGCTGGCATTGCCACGGGGGCCGGAGTACGGAGGCTTGGAGAGAGCTGGGCCTCAGGGGCCCCCTGGCTGTAGGTCTTGTAGGGCCGCTTGGCTGCCCGCATGGGGAGCAGGCGGTACAGCTTGAGGGTATTGAGCTTGGGCTTGTAGCCTCCATTGGGTGTCTTCTCACTGGCCAGGAGGCCCGGGCTAATGCCATGGAAGGCTCGCTGGTGGGTCTTCAGGTTATAATAAGTGACAAAAGTCTCCCAGCAGAAGATGCACTGGTACCTGGGCCAGGACAGCAGGGAACAGGGCAGGAACAGAGCCACTTAAGTCAGGAGCCCGGAAGCCAGGGCCTCAGCTTCCTGTGCCCTCCACTCCAGTCTGCGACACCCCCCAGCCTCGAGGAGGGGCACCAGTCCTAGCTCAGTGGCCCCCACAGGCTGTGGGGCGCTGCGCCCCAGCTGTCCCATCCGTGACCAGGAAATACTTGCATCCTGCCTAAGTCACGAACCCTCTTTGGAAGCACGGGTGACAGCAGGAGGAAGCGCCGTGGGCACAGGGCACACTGCGGACACGGCAGGCGCTGTTCTGAACGCTATGGGGACTGGTGGTCACGCCTGTGCGCCCAGCGTCCTCTCCCGGGAGGGCAACTTTCTCTGTCCTTCTCAGCCTTCCTCACAGCACCAGGCCAGGCCCGGGCCAGGCCCGCGTGCTGACAGACAGCAGCTGAAGGAACTGGGGCTGGAGGGAGGCAGAGGGTGAGTGGCGGTGAGCAGGAGGGTGAGTGGCACGTGAGCTGCCTAGGCTCAGGGTGAGTTGCAGGCCCCATGCTGTGCCCACCCCCTCCCCCATCCCGGGGGTCTCTGAGCGCTGACCCTTGGGCCCAGGCCACTCACCTGCGCTCCCCGGTGTGCCACACCTCGTGCTTGGTGCGGTACTCAGCCAGGGCGAACACCTTCTCGCAGTAGCGGCAGGGGTACTTCCTCCGCCATGAGTGGACGTTGCTGTGCCGCTTCAGGCTGGACAGGGTCACGTAGGAACGCTCGCAGGCCGCGCACACGTACAGCACATGGCCACCCACCACCTTCACCACGTGCTCAGGGCCACCTCGGAAGCCCACCGGCGGGGGCAGCGCTGAGGCGTCCACTCCTGCGGGACCACCGGGGCCAGAACTCCCGGGGCCCAGCCCTGCAGCCCCCCGCGTGCTGGCCCCCCGGCGGCACTGGGCCTCGTGGGTCTGCAGCCGCTTGGGATGGATGAAGCTTTTTCCGCATCGGGGGCAGGGCAGGGACCTCCGGGACAGAGAGGGCTGGGAGTCAGGGGCCTGGGCCTCGGCCCCGTCACCCTCCCACTCTCCAGCTGGTCTAGGCCCGAAGCCGCCCTCTTCAGGCTGCGACGGGGCCACAGGGGCTGGGGCAGGAGGTATCCAGGCATCGCCTCCCTCCCCCAGGCCCTGCAAGCGGGAGATGCCCAGACGCCGCCCCAGAGCTCCGATCTCGGCCACGGCGGCTCCGTCCCCGCCACCAGCAGGGAGTGCCAGCCGGGCACTGTAGATGAAGTTGAGGACATCAGAGAAGGCCGCTGCTGGGACCCCTGGCAGCTCCAGGACCCGGGGTGGGGGGGAAGCAGGGGGAGAGGCTGGAGGGGGAGAGGAGGAGGAGGAGGAAGAGGAGGTGGAGGAGGAGGAGGAGGCAGCTGTGGTGGTAGCAGGGTTGGGAGCTGAGCCCCCAGTAAGTGGTGGGAGGGGCAGTGGCGCAGAAGCGAGCAGGGCCTCTCTGAAGAAGGGACTAGAAGCAGCCAGGACGCTGCGGTGAGCAGGGAACTTGGTGTCTCCGGCTATGAGGGTGACGTCACAGAAAAGGCCACGGAGCCGCTGCTCATTGAGCTGGCGCAGGACGGCGGGGGCATGGGACGGGTCCGTCACCTCTGCGGGGGGGGGCATGGCGCCAGCCTAGACAGTGGGAGAAGAGGCCAGGGAGAGTCTCAGAGGCTGGGCAGCGGGGAGACTGCTGGTCAGAAACTACCGGGAGAGACCGAGTAATTTTAGCTCGCAGAGGTCAGGGGTTAACCCTTAGCCACCCAAGTCTGGCCAGGGTTACCTCAGGTCACAGTGAAGGGCAAGGAATCGCGGCCTCCCAAGTCTCGGACTAGAGAAGGGGCAAAGGGAAAGTCCCTCTCATTGGCAGGGGGCGGAGGCCCCCGCGAGGGCTGCTGCCCACTCCCCTGAGCTCCCAGGCCGGCCGCGGCGGCCCTCGCTGGCCCGCGGCCTGAGCTCTGACTTCTTGTCAGCACCCTCTCACCTGACAGCGCAGCCAGCATGGAGCGGAGCAGCCGTGGCTCAGCAGGTCCCCTGTGCCAGGCCTCTTCCCCCTGTGGAGAAAGGGAAACCTCGTCAGGGGGCCAAGAGGAGGCGGCGGGATGGGACCCCGGGGGGGCTCAGAGAGGACGCTCGGCCCCTCTCCTGAGAGCCTCTGTCCGGCTGTGCGTTCAGCCGCGTCCACTCCGACCTGGGAGGTCACGTGGACTATCGCAGGGCCTCGCTCTGCAGGCCCCGAGAAGTACAGCAACATGATCATTTGCATATTCCCAGGACACCCCCAAACAAGGCGGCAGCACAGTCCTATCCCAGGCTCCGGGAGGCCTGTCACATCCCTCTCAAGTCCCTGTGGCCCCATTTCAGGGCTCAAAGGCAATCAAAGATTTGCATGTTGTCTTTTATCACAATGAGATTATTTAGATATCAAAATAGATTTCCCTGAGCTTTTTTTTTTTTCTTGAACCAAGCTGCTGGATACTCAGATTAGGAAAGGACCTTGTCCTGTTACTCCCAGCCCCATAAACCTTAAAAGAGGTTTCTGGCCCAAGGGCCAGGTGACCACTAAAGACCCCTGCAGACCAGGGCTCACACATGTGCACTAGCTCGCTCCAGTTTCCAGAGCCCTGGAAAGACCAGCCAACTGGGAGTGAGGAGGCTTGGTCCCACTCCTGACTTGTTCCTGGTGGCGGAGGGAAGACACGCAGCCCCTGCCTCACCTCGTGCTGGGAGGCCCACCCAGGAGCGGCACAGAACCCAGCTCAGAAAGCACTTTCCCCCATGGGCACCAGCAGGGCCGAGGGTTCCCCTGCTAGGGTTGAAGATCTGGGTTCCAGAGTCCCTCAGCGACTTATCCAAGGGCACACAGAGCTGGTAGTGACAGTGACAGGTGGGCCTGTTTGCAGAGCTCTCGGGCCCTCCCATCTGCCTTCTGCAAAGCCGGGGCCCTCTCTCCTCTTCCCAGTGCCCTGGGTAGCAGAGGTGTGTGTTCCGCACCAGGGGTCCCTCATACAACTCCCAGCCCTGGAACGATGTTCTTTCCCCTTATTACTCCTGCCACCTGGATGGACAGGCCTTCCCCCGCCCGACACAGACCCTCTTTTCAAGTTCCCCGAAAGACTGCCCGATGCCTCTCCTGGACATGAAGAAAGAAGGGGATAAACAGGGTTGATGTTTGGAATTTTAACAACACGACTGCCAGGCACAGACAAGATACTAATTACAGGTCAGCCCCGTTAGACGCTGGATTGCGGAGCGCTCGGGAACCCTGGAGAAGGGGCCTCGCCTCAGTCGCGGGCTCCCACTCTCCTCCATGATGGCCATCAGCTCACCGGGACCCCAGAAGTCAGCACTTCATTTGCATTATCTCACCTGCTCCTTATCACTGCTCTGGAAGGTAGCAGTGGTCTCCCCTCTCCCCTTTAACTGTTTGTTTTTTTTTTTTTTTCCAAATTCCAGAGACAGAGAAACAGAAAGAGAGGGCTCCTGTCCACCTTCTCACTCCCTGAATGTCCACAACCCGTGTGGGCAGCAGGAACCCAACTAACTGAGCCATCAACACTGCCTCCTAGGGTCCTGGAATTGTGCCGGACCCAGGAACTGAACACAGGTCTTCTGATGTGGAATGCAGGCATCCCAACCGGCGCTTAAGCTGCCCTTGCTGCCTTTTTTTTTTTTTTTTTTTTTTTTTTTTGACAGGCAGAGTGGACAGTGAGAGAGAGAGACAGAGAGAAAGGTCTTCCTTTGCCGTTGGTTCACCCCCCAATGGCCACCACAGCCGGCGCACCGCGCTGATCCGATGGCAGGAGCCAGGTGCTTCTCCTGGTCTCCCATAAGGTGCAGGGCCCAAGCACTTGGGCCATCTTCCACTGCCTTCCTGGGCCACAGCAGAGAGCTGGCCTGGAAGAGGGGCAACCGGGACAGAATCCGGCGCCCCGACCGGGACTAGAACCCAGTGTGCCAGCGCCGCAAGGCGGAAGATTAGCCTCGTGAGCTGCGGCGCCGGCCTGCTGCCTCACTTTAAAATGACGGAGTGACCGTCAGCCGCTAGGAAGCTCGCCCAAGGAGCTACGACCAGGTGGCAGCACGGCTGGGATCTGATCCCAGCAAGCCTGTGTTCCTGGTGACGTCACACACCGAGACGAAGGATATGTTTAGAGTCCGTGCTAGGGCACCACCAGCCCACCTGTGCCTTCGTGAAAGTTAGAAAGCCATTCCTCCGGAGGTAGCAGCCCCGTGCAGGTGAGCAACGTCCAGGTTCAATTCCAGTCCCCACCCGCCTTGGCCAGGCCTGTGCGCCGGCACAACCACACGTGGCTGGCCTTGGACCTATACAGCAGCTGTGTGCTGACTGCCATGATGCTTAGACAAGGCCTGCCAGGGCACTTAGAACAGCACAGAGACCCAGAGTCAGTGTGGCCCTTCAGAGGCCACCCAGAATCACCACCAGCATCCTCCTCCTCATCAGTCTTTGGAGCTGCCATGTATGAAATATTTATTATGTGCAAAGTGCATTGCCAAGCATCTTATCTGCATAATCTCATTTCAACACTCAGAAAGGCCACAGTGAGGAAACAGGCTTAGAGAAATGAAATGCTCTAAACTCCTCACTTTCGGGTTGACAGCAAGTAAGTGATGGGGTGGTTTCCCCCTGGTCCCACTGCTATCCAAGCTAGGATTTGGACCCAGCCTCCCAAGTTCACTGGCTACTGCCCGGCGAGGGCTTATGGATAGCGGAGAACACACCAGCGATGGGACCCTGCGCAGGTTACTTAACCTCTCTGCATCTCAGTTTCCTTGTCTCTAAGGTGGGAATGATAGTAGCAGTTCCCACTTCCTGGAGTTGTCATAAAGACTAAAGAGGGGCCGGCGCTGTGGTGTAGCGGTAAAGCCACCACCTGTAGTGCCGGCATCCCGTATGTGGGTTCGAGTTTTGGCTGCCCCTCTTCTGATCCAGCTCTCTGCTATGGCCTGGGAAAGCAGTGGAAGATGGCCCAGGTCCTTGGGCCCCTGCACTCGCATGGGAGACCTGGAAGAAGCTCCTGGCTTCGGATTGGCCCAGCTCCGGCCACTGCGGCCATCTGGGGAGTGAACCAGCAGATGGAAGACCTCTCTCTCTCTCTCTGCCTCTCTCCAACTCTGCCTTTCAAATAAATAAATACAATACTTTTTTTTTTTTTTGACAGGCAGAGTGGACAGTGAGAGAGAGAAAGGTCTTCCTTTGCCGTTGGTTCACCCTCCAATGGCCGCTGCGGCCGGCGCACTGCGGCCGGCGCACCGCGCTGATCCAATGGCAGGAGCCAGGAGCCAGGTGCTTTTCCTGGTCTCCCATGGGGTGCAGGGCCCAAGCACCTGGGCCATCCTCCACTGCACTCCCGGGCCACAACAGAGAGCTGGCCTGGAAGAGGGGCAACCGGGACAGAATCCGGCACCCCAACCGGGACTAGAACCCGGTGTGCCGGTGCCACTAGGCGGAGGATTAGCCTAGTGAGCCGCGGCGCCGGCCAAAATAAAATACTTTTTAAAAAAGAGAGACTAAAAGAGCCAGTAAGTGGCAGTACAGTAGCCCCCTGTATCCTGTGGGTTCTGCCTCTTCAGATTCAAACATTCGGGGGAAAAAGTTGCATTTGTACTGAACATGCATATTTTTTCCTTGTCATTTCCTAACAATATCTAGTATTTACAGTAACATTTACATTGTATTAAGTATTATAAGGAACCTAGAGATGAATTAAAATATATGGAGGGTGGGCATTTGGTCTAGTGAATATGAGCCCACGTGGGACACCCACATCCTACACAGGAGCACAGGTTCAAGTCCTGGCTCCGGCTCATCATTCCAGCTCCCCACTAATATACCCTGGGAGGCGGCAGTCACATGGGAGGCCTGGATTGAGTTTCTGGCGCCCACTTTCAGCCCAGTGCAGCTCCAGCTGTTGCAGACACTGGGATTTGGAATGGGAGCTGTCTGTCTCCCTCTGCCTCTTACACAGAATTAGTGAGAGTGAAGCCTGTGGGAGGACAGTAGGTTATACTACGCACATCCTATGCCGATGTATATAAGGCACTCGAGTGGCATTGGATTCAGGTGTCTGCAGGTGCTGGAACCAACCCCCCATGGATACCGAGGGACACCTGTTCCTAGACCTTGGCACTCAGCTCCGGAAAACGGTAGGGGAAAAGTGGTGAAAAACATAAAAAGAGGCAGAAATCAGACTTCATGACAAGTCTGGTGGTGCTGAGATTTGAAGTTTGTTTTATTTGTTTGCGCTTACTGTTCCTTTCCTCTTGAGTGCCTGTGACCTCGCAGGTGCCTCTGAGCACGGCCAGCAGACGCGCTCTAACTCTTGCTGCTCCCCCTGCCTGCAAAGCCCTTTCCTCCAGAGAGCCTCACACCTGGCTGCCCCACCTCCACGAAGTCCTGAGTCACCTGCCCCGGAGGCCTCCTCTGGACAACCCCACCCCTCCCCGGCCCCCCCTCCCCAAACTTCCTATCCCCTACCCTGCTTTATTTTTCTCCTTGGTACTTGGTAGAACATTTTGTTCATTTCTCTCCAGAGTGTACGCTCTGGGGGTGGGGGAGGCAGGGATTTTTGTCTGCTTCCTTCTCTGTATCATCTCAGTACTTAAAACGGTGCCTAGCACATAATGAGAGGTTTTATGTATTTATTTTTTTTTTAAGATTTTAAAAAAATCTGGTAAATACACGAACCTGCCTCCAAGTCTGTCCGCCCTTGGGGGGAAAAGGAAGCCAGTCTCAGTGCTGGACGGAGGCGGCCAGGGGCTGGGGGTGGTGATTATAATGTGACTCTTTCTGGGGTACTCACAGCTTGCTTGACACTTCCAGGGGCTCACCGAGCATCGCCTCCTCCGCACAGCCACCCACGGGAGGTGTTTATATTTTCCCCATTTGACAGGAAACAGAGGCTCAGCCAGGGATGTGCCTTGCTGAAGGACACTCAGCCCTAAGTAGCAGAGTCAAGATTCGAATCCAGGCCCGGCTGACCCCCAGATGCCGAATCCTCCTCTGGCGTACTGCTGGCGCCTGCCCAGAAGGGGCCTATGGCGGCCAGCTGATTACATAAATCACCACACAAGGTCTCACGTGCTAAGTGCTAAGTGTGTCATGTCTGACTCCACCCTTCCCTCGCTCCCAGACCCACAGTCACCAAGTCTGGCTGAAGCTGCAGCTGAGCTTGGGATGGCTCTCGAAGCCTTCCCTCCAACCTGCCGCTGGCCCCTAAGCTGGTTCAGATCCTTGTCAACACTCACACCGGCCACGGCCACGGCCACGGCCGGCCAGCTCTCCCCCTGCTTCCAGGCTACCTGCTTCCGTCCAACTGAGAGTCGACATCCCCGATGCAGATATAGCGGGTTCAGAACCCTTCACTGGTTCCTAATGACTCAGGAATACAGCTCAAATCCCTCCACCAGGCACTCAAAGGCTCTCTGGTCTAGTTCCAATCTCCCGTTAACCTCTCAGACACCCGGAGCGCCCTCCCAGCTCCACACGCCCCACACCTCCATGCCTTCGCCTACTGGCTCCCCTGCCAGAAACGTCCTTTCCCCCATCTCTTCCCAACATCTCTTCAAAATGTTAAGATCTGAGTCAAATGTCATCTCCTTCTTGGCCGTCCCCGACCCACAGGGCAAGGACAATCTCTCCCTCCTCTGACTCATCAACATTTTGTGCGCCACAGCCAGCACCCACTCGGACAGCAGCAGGGATGTATGTAGGTTCTCACGCCCCGGGCAGGGATACGGCCTTAGCATCCGGGTCTCTGCCATGGACTGCTGCAGACGCGGAAACCGATGTGTATGTCTGTGAGTATGTGTGTGGCAGGTGCACAGGGAGACCCAGCGCCTGTTCCAGGAGGGCAGCAGAACAGAGTAATTCAGAGCACAGGACCTGGGTTGTGTTCAAATACCCAGGTTCAAATCCCTTGCCTGGGTTCAAATACCCAGACAGCTTTCCCCCTTACCGGCTAAGTCACTGAGGGCAAATTAACGCTCAGGACCTGGGTCCACCTCCCCTGAAGATGGGAATTGATGACGGCGCCCGTTTCCATGGTGGCGTGGTGAGGACTAGGTGAGGGATCGTACCCGACAGCAGTGCTGGGGAGGGCGCCAGTGCTAACCAAGCGCTTACTGCTGTGGCTGCTAACAAAGCAGTGGATTCTCATGGCTGGCAGAGAGCTGACAGGGGCTGGTACAGGCACGGTCCCGACACCGTCACTTGGAAGATGCGTAGGCCATGTCGCTGCTGCCCCTTTACGGATGAGGAACTGAGGCTCACGCAGGGAAAGTGCCTGTGAGGAAGTGGTGGGGCCGCCAGGACTCTTAGGTTCTGGTCTAGGGTTCCGTCTCCTGCACCTGTCGTGCAGGGCTCAGGCAGCAGCCGGCCCCCTCCCCGCCCCCATGGCCCAGGGGCCCAGCCATAGTGCCCTCCCACTCCTCCCTGAGTGCACACTGCTCCTCTAGGCCAGGGTGGGTGGTTCACAGTGGTATGCACACTGAGAGTGCGCGCACACACATGCAGGCACCCCCCCGGCCCCCCCGCTGAAGGGCCGGGGCCCCAAAGGTGAGGAAAACCTGTTCTGAGGAATCTGCCTAGTGAGCGAATTCCGCTGCGAGGCCCTTCACAGTGGCAGCAGCAGTGGGGCCCAGTGTGCGTCAGAGATACCCGAGAGGGGGCAGAGAGAGGGAGACAGCGGCGGAGCGGAGGAGGAGGCTGCAAACTTCATGTTTCTTTTTTCCATTTTAGTGACAAAAGTCACACCCGGCCTTTACATAAACACAGCCAAGGAGCCATTCTGTCTAAGCTCACTTCCCTTGCAGACACCCTGGCCTCCCCCCCTCCTCCCCGGGTGACCCTGACACTGCAGGCGGCCGCAGAGGGGCGAGCACACGGACCCTGCAGGAGACGGGCTGGGCCACCCCGCCAGCACCCAGGCCTCCGCCTGCTGCCCTTGCTGTGCCCTGTATTCATCCCCCCCCTTCCTTGTAACATATCCCCTGGGCAGCCCCACACCCCCTGGGCAGCCCCACAGGGCTCCCGAGCACACAGAAGGCAGCCTCGCACGCACGCACGCACAGCTGGTGGCTGGTCTCTAGGCTCTGAGGCCCACATTGCCCTTGTCACGCCACCTCCCTCCCCACAAGTGTTTTCTGACCAGCTCGCCTCCCAGCCCAACAGCCCGGACAGGCTCCCACAAACAGGCTCCCACAAACGACGTCACAAAAGAATCCCGTGGAGAATGTTGCAAACACACAACCTTCCCCGCGCCTGGCTACCCACGATCCCATAAACACAGCTTGCACACTGCCCACCCCCCCACCCCGGCCCCAGCGCCCCTCACACGGTGCCAGACGACCCACAGGCACGCGAGACACACCCTGGCGTTTCTCACCCCCTTCCTGATCCCTGGGATCTGAGTTCTAGACGTGCAGCCCCCCCATGCCCTTGGCTTATCACAGACACAAACCCATCCTTCCGCCCGTCCTCGCCGTGACCAGACCACACCTGGGCAGGGCCCCAGCCGTGGGCCCCACACCTGACACCTCCGGACTCAAAGGTCTACAGCTGCCCCCTCCCAGCAGGCACACACAGCCTGCGTCCTGGTGCCCCCCACAGCACATACTCCACACCAGCTATGCAGAACACAGCAGTTTCGAGACAGCGTTCTTTCCTGTGGTGCAAGAACATACATGCAAGCAAATACACGCTGGTAGAAAACATATGTAGAACCCCACATTGAACAAACTCCACACTCAGCGCATTGTGCCCTGCTTAAAATGCTCAGCTGTCACCCAAAGCCACAGGGCCCCACAGCACCGGACACCCCTTCTGGCTTCCCATCTCCACGGCCCAGGGAGGGCCCCCGCCAGGACCCCTGGCTGCCAAAGCCGCAGGCGATGGTGCCCAGGAAAGGTTTACCTTGCCTCACAACACAGCAGGAAACACACAATCTCCAAGACTCACAACCACAACCCTGCCCCGACGGCGCGGCTGTTCCGGGGCCCCTGCTCGTCTTGCGCACCCTGCACACCCCAACTCTGGGGCGCTCGGCGGCCCACCCCTCCCCCTCTCTGCCTGGCTCCTACGCCATCGCCCTCCCAGCAGCTTGCAGCGCCTGCCCGGGCTCACACCCGCCCCACCCCACCCCCAACCTGCCCCACGGGGGGAGGGGGGCAGCGGGCTGCAGAATTAACCCTTCAAAGGGGCGTGAGCGCGGCCCCTTCCACGGCCCCAGGCGATCGCGCCCCCGCCACAGCTCCCTCGGACGCCATACCGGGGCCCCCTTAGTCGCCCCCCCGGCGCCGTGCGCGCCTGGGGGCGGGGCTAGGCTCAGCCCTCGACCCCTGAGCCCCCAGGTCAACCCCAAAGGGGAGCGGTCTGGGCGCGGGGCGCGGCCCGGGCCCCCGCGGCGCCGGGCAGCGGGGAGGGGGCCCGGCAGTTGGCTCCGGTCCTCCCTGGCCCTGCCCGGTTTGCCCCGGGGCCCACCTGACTGCGATGGCGCCGCGTCCGCCAGGCCCGGCTCATCACCGTGGCCGCCCCCGGCCGCTCCGGTTTCGCCCGCCTCCAGCTCCGGCTCCGGCTCCGGCTCCGGCCCCGGCCCCCCCAGCGCCCGGCCCCGGCCCGGCCCCGCCGCCGCCGCCGCCGCTGACATCATCGGCTCCCCCCCCGCCCCGGTCCTACCCCCACCCCCACCCCCGGAAACAGTCCCCCCCCAGCGCCGCCGCCGCCTCGAGGAGGCCGGCGCAGCGCAGCCGACACCGACACTAGGCTCAGAGCGCCCGACGGCTTTCGGCCGAACCGATACGGAGGCGGCGCGGGGAACCGCACAGAGTAGAGAGGGCCACCAAGGCTGTGGACACCCAACAGGACGCCGGCAGGGTTGCAGCACCCCTGCAGGGGCGCACGACCACCCACTTCTTAGAAAGACACCCACCCTCCTCAGTCTTTCCCCTGCACGCCCTTCACTGGGTGCACAACACCCCAAAACACCCAAGAGCAGACGTGTGTGTGCACACATAACACATACACACACAACGGGTGCACGCTCTCAGGGCACACACACAACATAGCGGACTTACAGTTGGGCCCAGTGGGAGCCTTAGAGCAGGGTCAACATGCTCGCAGGACAGCCCTGGACACACATAAACCCTTTTCAGGAATGCACAGGGACCCCACAAGAGCCCGAGCAAGGAGGGCCCAGCCCTATGGAACCCCCACATGTCTCTGCTGTTGGAGGCGGAGGAACTGCTCTCACAGCCCCTTCCTGAAAACCTTGCTGAAATGAGACAGTAAACAAATGAACATCAAGCCCAGGGAGACTTATCACAAGGAGAAAAAAGAATCAAATTTTAAGTCACCAGACATAGACACGAAACAAGTAGAGAAACGAACAGACACAGTGAGAGAATAGCCCCCCTCCCCCAGGAAGGCTCCAGAGAAAAGTCCCCCACCTCCCCAGGAAGGTTCCAGGGAAGAACCCCACCCCCACTCCAACCAGGTCACAATGGCTGGAGCTCTGAGGGGTCCAGGCCCCGGAACCAGGAGGCGAGGAGGAAGTCCAAGGAAAGATGGTGAGTATGGGGGCCGGGGGGCATAGCAGGACATCCCTCCCTGTCACCACTGCCTGCTCCTCTTCTCTCCCTCCCTTAAGGCTCCCAAGCTGACCTAGAAAGACCCCCAAATGAAATTTTTACCGTATAGCCTAACGTCCCTGGAGCCTGTGACGTCATGTAGACACACGGTCTGAGGCTGTCTCCTCTCTCTCACCAACAGCACCCTGACCCTTTCCTCCTCCCAGAGAAATAGTGCTCAGGGATGGCTCACGCCCCGCTTCCTGCTTTGGATGCTCAAGGCCCACAGTTCACATCCGTCTTTCAGGCCCCTTCTAGCTCCCAAGAGAGGCTGGCCTCGTGGTGTCCCATGGGGCCTTCCCCTGCCCCAAGTCTCCCAGGCTGTGGTAGCCCTCATGCCTCAGCTCCTTTCTCCATAAACAGGCTGGCACTCACCCCTATTTCAACCTGCCCGACTTCACCCAGCCATCGCCGCCCTCCACTCCGCCCAGCCTCCACTCACACCACCGCTGCCGGCCCTCCGACGCCACCAAGGGCCTGCTTGTGGCCCTGCTGGGCGGGGGCCTGCCCGCTGGCTTCGTGGGCCCCTTCTCCCGGATGGTTTACCAGGCTTCCCGCTTGCCCTCGATGGAGCTGCTCATCTGTCGATGTCTCTTCCACCTCCCCATCGCCCTGCTACTTAAGCTGCGAGGCGACCCACTGTTGGGACCCCCGGATGTCCGGGGCCGGGCCTTCCTCCACGCCTTGCTCAACGTGCTCAGTATCGGATGTGCCTACAGTGCGGTTCAGGTGGTGCCTGCTGGCAATGCTGCCACCGTTCGCAAAGGTTCTTCCACCGTCTGCTCCGCTCTTCTCGCCCTCTGCCTCGAGAGCCAGGGTCTCAGTGGCTACGACTGGTGTGGCCTGTTGGGCAGCACCCTGGGACTAATCATCATTGTGGGACCTGGACTGGGGACGCTGCAGGAGGGGACCACAGGCCTCTACACTGCCCTGGGCTATGTGCTGGCTTTCCTGGGAGGGTTGGCATTGTCACTGGGGCTTCTGGTCTACCGCTCCCTGCACTTCCCCTCCTGCCTACCGACAGTGGCCTTCCTGTTTGGTTTGGTGGGGCTGCTGGGCTCCGTGCCGGGCCTCTTTGTGCTGCAGACCCCCGTGCTGCCCAGTGACCCTCTGAGCTGGAGCTGTGTCGGGGCAGTGGGGATCCTCGCCTTGGTCTCCTTTGTGTGTGTGAGCTACGCGGTCACCAAGGCCCACCCTGCCCTGGTGTGTGCGGTCCTGCACTCTGAGGTGGTGGTGGCCCTGATGTTGCAGTACTACGTGCTCTATGAGACCGTGGCACCCTCCGACATCATGGGGGCAGGGGTCGTGTTGGGTAGCATTGCCATCATCACCGCCCAGAACCTCAGCTGTGAGAGGGAAGGGCAGGTAGAGGGGTGTGATTGAACTGGAGAGTCGGGGGTTGGGGGGGCAGGGGTAAATAGGACAGACTGGAATACAAACGTGGGACAGCAAGTGACAGGAGGAGAACTGGTGTGGGGCAGGGACACCCCTCGGAGCCCAGGGCGGCCTGGGGACTTGGTAGAGAGAGCGACCACCTGGAAGACCCACAGCAGCAAGCCAGGGTGTCTAGGCTGGGTCCCAGCAATCAGTATAGCTACGGGGTAGGGTCTGAGGAGCCTGTCCCACGAGGCTGAGGCAAGGGGCTGTGGGCCATGGGGAGGATTCCCTCGGTAGCAGAGAGAGGAGCACTGAGGGTGGAGGGCGCAGTGTGCTCAGGCAGATGGAACAAGCAGCTGCACTGGGGGAGGGGAGCGTGCTTTTCCTCCTCCCTGGGCGACAAGAAAGATGATTTCCTCTCCTTGTGGTTGTGCCCCCACCACTTGGGGTGATGACGTGACACTGACATCAAACAAGGATCACGCTGAACGCGGCTGTGCAGCCGGTGTCATCTTGGCTTTGGAGGGAGAGTGGAAATCCTCCACGGCTCTCAGTGGAGTCTCTCCGGGGATGTTCTCACCCCCACCCTCCCCTCCGGTTATTGCGGAACTCTTCTAGAAGGTGGAGGACTTCCCAATGCTCAGATTCCTTGATTCCCCCCCCCCCCGGCCCCCGCCACGGACAACACAACCGACCCCCAATTCCCCAGGACTTTCGTGTGCCGCCCCGTGGCTAATCTGCTTTTCCCGGATTGTCCCGGTCTCGTGATCTCTGCTGGACAGTGAGTGGCCACTCCTTCCGGAGCAAGCCTCTTGAAGCGGCTCAGGCCGGGAATCTGGGACTAAGGCTCGGTACAGCCCTTCTCCCCCGCACCCTCTTCCCGGTTAGAGGCCAGGAGATACCCCACTCGTCCCAGGAGGCTACTTCCGGAGGCGCAACTGGCCTCGCCATCTTGGTCTATTCATGCATATTCACAGCGAAACTGCATATTCAAGAGCGAGGACAGCCCCAGCACCGCCCCTCCCTCCGGAACCCGCTCAGGAGGAGCCGGCCGGCCCCGCCTCCATCACGGATTCGCAGAACACACCATTTCCCAGCTGGGGGAGGGGGGCGGGCGTCAAGGAGAGTCTTTTGCTGAAGACGAAACCATACTCCAAGCTGAAATAAAAGCGGCCTGATTTTACCCTCGATCCTTCACACCTTCAACCTTAATGCCAGAGCGGGCAGCGAAGCGAGGCGGCGCGCTTTTACGAAAAAAAAAATATATATATATCCCCCCTTCCCCGTCACTTCAAAAGGTCGCCAGATCGGGGAGCCGCGGAGGAGGCTCAACGGCGGGAGCGCGCGCGTCCCGTGCGGCCCGTCGCAGGCGGCCCCGTAGCGCAAGGGAGGGCGGGAAAGGAAGGGGCGGGGACTCAGGGGCGAAGCTATAAAGGCCGTCATTCGGCCGGTTCGCTTCTCAGAAGCGCCGAGAGCGCGGCCGGGGCGGTTGAGAAGAAGGCGGCTCCCGGAAGGGGGAGAGACAAACTGCCGTGCCCTCCGCCGTTCAGGAGCCCGGTTACTTATTTATTCGTTAACCTTTTTCTTCTTCCTCCTCCCCGAAACCTTTTCCTTTTCCCCTCTTTTTATTTTTTCCTTTTTGGGAGCCGAAAAAAATCTCCGGAAAGGGGGAGAAGGGCTTTTTTCGCTCCTTTTTTCACTTCCCCGCCTCTTTCCCTCCCCCACCTCTCCCTCCTCCGGCTTTTTCCTCCCAACTCGGGGAGGTCCTTCCCGGCGGCCGCCCCGACGGGGTCTGAGCGCCTAGGCGGAGGCGGCGCAGGCTTTTTGTAGCGAGGTTTGCGCCTGCGCAGCGCGCCCGCCGCGGCCATGCACGGGGGTGGCCCACCCTCCGGGGACAGCGCATGCCCGCTGCGCACCATCAAGAGAGTGCAGTTCGGAGTCCTCAGTCCGGATGAGCTGGTAAGCTGCTCGGTCCTCCCTCGCCGACGGGCGGGGCTGGAAGGTGGCTGCGGAAACTTGGCGTTCTCCCTGCCCGCGGGGAAGCCGAGTTACCGGCGCCAAGGCTGGCGGTGTGCGGGCCAGCCTCGGGACCCCCGCACCCCCCGCGACTCCCCGAACAGAGCTACATTTTGCAAGGATTTGAACAAGTGTAGGGCTGTGTCGGAGTCGGGGTGACTGGCTCCACACCGCGGAGTTAACCCTGGTTCAGCGAGATCAGACACATCCGAGGGGATCTGTGCTAGTTTGCGTGGCAAAGCCAAGCCCCAGGTTTCCCTCTTCCCCCTCCACAAATACTGATTGAGCTCCTGGCTCGTGGTAGGACAGACGCTGGGGAGACGGCGTTGGACTGGCCAGTCTCCTGGGGGAAAGGGCAGATGAGCATTGTGAATAAAGGAGTGAATGAGATAATTTGGAGTGCTTTGAATAAAAGCGAAACGGGATAATGCTATGGAGAGTCCCTGAGGCTGGGCGACTTTAATTGGGGTGGTGTCAGGGTCTGGGAAGGAGGTGACATGACCCGATTGAGAAGCAGCCATTTCAACTCGGATTCTGAGGCAAGAAGACACAGCAAGTGCAAAAGGCCTGAGAGAGGAATGGATTGACCGTGTCCCAGGCTCACAGGCCAGTATGGGTGGGCTTCAGTGGGTGAGGAGAGGATATTACGGAAATGGGCTGGAGAAGTGTGGGATATCACGGTTAAGAACTCAAGGTATAATCCTATTTTCAGTGGAAGCCGGTGGACAGTTAGAAGCAGGAGAGTGACTTCAAGTTTACATTTAAAAACATGCTGCTGTGGTTGCTCTGTCAAGAACCGATTGGGGGAGGGGGGAGAGTAGGGTTAGTCCCAGGGGAGAGCGGTTGGGACTTGGACACCTTCCTTAGCGGAGCTCACAGGAGGGAGCCAGTTGGCCGGGGAGAGTGTAGTTTAATGGCTGTGTGTGGACGGATTTGATTTTGGTAGGGGACAGCTCAGCTGTGTCATGAGTCGGAACGTCCTGACCTCACACCATACCACAGAACAAATTCCAGATGGAGTTTACAAAAGCCCTAAGTCACGGGTGCAAAAATACAGAAGGCTGTGGGAGGGCTGATACCAGGGGCAGCAGTCCTTAATGGTAGTAAAATTACATGTACATCTTACGGAGTTTCTAAAATGAGCTAAGCATTATGCAAGAGCAGGGCAGATTTCCTACATAAAAATAAGAGCCATTTCTTTTATCAGAAACCAGGAACAGAACTAACTAAAGAAAACATCAGGAAACAGTATTTGTAGTGCGGTAGGCACGGTTAGACTTCTTAATGCATATACAAAGGAACATTTAGAAAATAGGAAAATACACGTCTATAAAGGGAATAAAGGAAATAAACAGGCAGTTCACAGAAATTGCGCAAATGCAGGCGTTTGGTGTAGTGGTTAAGTTGCCGCTTAGGGCACCTGCACCAGTTGTCAGCGTCTAGTCGGAGGCCTGGCTCCTCTGCTTCCATTCTAGCTTCCTGCTAATGCACACTCTGGGAGGCAGCAAGGGGAGGCCCACGTGTGGGTCTCTGGCACCACTAAGAGACCTGGATTGAGTTCTGCGTTTGTCTTGGCCCAACCCTGGTTGTTGTGGACTGTTAGGAAGGGAACCAGCAGATGGAAGATCACTCTGTCTTTACGTTTCAACTTAAAGGAAAACTAAAAAGTAGATTTTAAAATGTTCGGCTTGCTAATTAAATATAATTTAAAATAAAGTTTTTAAAAAAGATTTATTTATTTGAAAAAGTTACACGGAGAAAGAGAGGCAGAGAGAGAGGGAGGTCTTCATCCGCTGGTTCACTCACCAGTTGGTCACAGCAGTTGGAGCTGTGCTGATCCGAAGCCAGGAGCCAGGGGTTTCTTCCAGGTCTCCCACACAAGTGCAGAGGTGCAAGGACTTGGGCCATCTTTCCATTGGTTTCCCAGGCCATAGCAAAGAGCTGGATCGAAAGTGGAGCAACTGGGTCTCGAACTGGTGCCCATATAGGATGCTGGCACTGCAGGTGGTGGCTTTACCCACTACGCCACAGCACTGGCCCCAAAATAAAAATGTTGTAAACTGATCCTTCCCTGCTGGCAAAACTATTGGGAAGTAGGTATGCTTATGTATTTTTGGTAGAATAGGCTGATAGAACCGTTTTGGAGGACAGTCTGACAGTTTTGTCAAACTTTTTGACAATTGTCAGCCTTTTTATTTTTTTATTTGACAGGTAGTTATAGACAGTGAGAGAGAGACAGAGAGAAAGGTCTTCCTTCCGTTGGTTCACTTCCTTAATGGCTGCTATGGCCGGCACTGCGCCGATCCGAAGCCAGGAGCCAGGTGCTTCCTCCTGGTCTCTCCCATGCGGGTGCAGGGACCCAAGCACTTGGGCCATCCTCCACTGCACTCCCAGGCCACAGCAGAGAGCTGGACTGGAAGAGGAGCTACCTGGACTAGAACCCGGGGTGCTGGCACCACAGGGGGAGGATTGGCCAAGTGAGCCACGGCGCTGGCCGGCCTTTTAATATGTGTCTCCTTTGATCCCAACATTACCACTTACAAGTTTATTTTTATTTATTTTTCAGATTTACTTATTTATTTGAAAGGCAGAGTTCAAGAGAGGGAAAAACAGAAATCTTTGATCTGCTGGCTCACTCCCCAAGTGGCCAGAATGGCCAGGGCTGGGCCAGGTTGAGGCCAGATATTTCATCTGGGTCTCCCACATGGATGGCAGGGCCCCAAACACTTGAGCCATATTCTGCTGCTTTCCCAGGCGCATTAGCAGGGAGCTGGATGAGAAATGGAGCTGCTGGAACTTGAATCAGTGATCCTACGGGATGCTGATGTCAGCAGGCAACTTAACCTATGTCATAATGCCGGCGCCTAAAAATTTATTATTTTTTTAATGCTATATGGGATTTTCCTTTTTTTTTTTTTTTTCAAGATTTATTTTATTTATTTGAAAGACAGAGTTAGAGAGGTAGAGACAGAGGTCTTCCATCCGATGGTTCACTCCCCAGATGGCCACAATGGCCGGAGCTGTGCCTATCAGGGGCCAGGAGCTTCTTCTGGGTCTCCCTCGTGGGTGCAGGGGCCCAAGGACTTGGGTCATCTGCTACTTTCCCAGGCCATAGCAGAGAGCTGGATTGGAAGAGGAGCAGCTGGGACTAGAACCGGCGCCCGTATGGAATACCAGTGCTTCAGGCCAGGGCTTTAATCCACTGTACCACAGTGCCGGCCCCTTAAAAATTCATTCTTAAAACACTGGAGCAGGCCGGCGCGCGGCTCACTAGGCTAATCCTCCGCCTTGCGGTGCCGGCACCCCGGGTTCTAGTCCCGGTTGGGGCGCCGGATTCTGTCCCGGTTGCCCCTCTTCCAGGCCAGCTCTCTGCTGTGGCCCGGGAGTGCAGTGGAGGATGGCCCAAGTGCTTGGGTCCTGCACCCCATGGGAGACCAGAAGTACCTGGCTCCTACCATCGGATCAGCGCGGTGCGCCAGCCACAGCGCACTGGCCGCGGCGACCATTGGAGGGTGAACCAACGTCAAAGGAAGACCTTTCTCTCTGTCTCTCTCTCTCACTGTCCACTCTGCCTGTCTAAATAAATAAATTAATAATAATAATAAAAAAAAAAACACTGGAGCAGGCATTAAGACACCCACTTATTGGTATGCCTGGGTTCGATTCCTGGCTCAGGTTCCTGATTTCAGCTGCCTGCTGTTGTAAACCTTGAGAGGCAGTGGTAATGACTCAAGTAATTGTAGTTCCTCCTCCCATGTGGTGGTCTGGATTGTGTTCCTGGCTGTGGACTTCGATCCTGGCTGTTTCAGATATTTGGGGGAGTGAACTAGTCAATGGGAGCTTGCTCTTCCTCTCAAATGAGTGAAAATAAAGAACCCTTAATTTCTCTCCGCTAGCATACCCTCCCTGCCTTTGCTGGTTCTGTAAGTTCTTTTCCATTCATCCAGTTGCTGAGGTCAAAACCCAAGCCAGCTTTGGTTCTTCCCTTTCTTAAAATCTCTACTGCATCTCTTCTGCCTTTGCAAGTCTGTCTGGAAGCCAGCCGTCTGTGACCATCTCCACCACTGTGTCCCACCTTCGTCTTTCCCACGTGGTCCCGTGGCTACTGCAGGAGCCGTAGCCCCTTATCTTCCTGAGTTTACAGAACAAGCTAGAGGCATCTTTTCATCGTGTG